ACTAGAATTCGTTTCTCTCCGTCAGTCAGTGAGTAAAGAGACCAGACACGCGTCATGCGCCGTCGATCGTGGAAGGGAACGAGACACGCGTGGAGTGCTCCCTTTGAATACCTTAATCAGGAAGTGGGATACCATTTACATCATAATCGGTAAAATGTCATTAGGCGAAAGTTCTTCCTTTTTTGGATATCGACTTTCCATGTTCTTTCATCTTTCCGTATATTTCTTCTTGTTTCATTCTTCATATCTTACAAGAAATTGTTATGAGGTTTTCCTCCTCTTTAAGGAAATTTTTCGACACAGGACTCAAGTCCTAGCATATCGTGACGTGCTCCTTAAACGAGCATTTCATTTTTCCGTAACAAAAAGGAAAAAAGAAATGTGATCGTTTGACAAGTTGCCGTCTCAATTTTCCTTTCGAGGTTAGTTACCAAGGAGATAGCTATCGTTAAGTGAACAACAGCTGCTATTTGACGTGTACCAATGACAGCGCGATGTCACAATTGGGACATTTACATTGAAAACAAGGATTTTGGTTATTGAATATTGATTGTTACTGAGACGTTAAAACTGCCAACGGTACAGCAACGCGATTAATCTAAAAACCGCAAAACTCTGGTTGGTAAGTCTATTACTGTATTTCGTAAATAAATTAAGACAGTTTTGTGTTCCTGACTTGTACACGCTCGAGAATCAGCGTTTTTTTGTGTGTGTAATATTTTGTTGTTGTTGGTAAATTTATTTGCCATTACAGAAAGGCTCTTTCTTCAGTTCTTCTTTTCGCGCAAAAAGCGACACTTGTGCCCAGTTATTCGCAATCCGGCGACAATGTTCTAGATAAAAGCCTATGAATAGATCCTCTTTACGAGTCATAATAAAAGACAATGAAAAGTCTGACCCAAACGGGTATATTGCGGCTCAACGCTTCATTTCACATGCATGTGACGTGAAACCAGTCGTGATAACAAAGCCTCGATAGAACTGCTTAAAATACACAATTCTGTCACTACTGCCGCTCAAAGGATTTGATAAGTTTAATTCCACATTGCCAAGGGAATAATTCACTCACATTAGTGATGGAAGGCTTCACAAGAAAACGTTCTAACAGTGTTCCAATTTTGTCGCAAATAGAGAAAGTATTAGATCACAAAGAAGATCTTGGATTGAATGAAAGAAGATCGAGTGCAATATTTTCAAGGTTTTGTGAAACTCGATCGCCAGGAGACACGACTCGGCCGAAGGTTAGGCTTTCAAGTGGCGGATTAATTCGAAATCAGAAAAGAAGGCGATCAAGAACTATGGGGAACACACAAACCGGCTCAACACAAATCTGTGAACAAGAACAAGACACGGTCCCCGAACAGGTCAGGCCGAGGGCTTTTACAACCAGCGAGGTAGAGAATACAGAGGATGGTTCAGAGTCTTCACCAACAGGAAAGACAATATCGCACTCCCTTCTTAATGTGGACGAATATCCGCAACGTCACGATGTTAAGGCTGAAGAAGAACGTTATGAATCCCTTTCGTTGATGACAAAAGGAGAAGATGCCTCCGTTGAACAAGCATCTGATATCATTTACAATAACGATACACCGGATGACTGTAGAGTAACTGATCAGGAGCAAGCAACAGCCAATATAGATTCTTGTAGTAAAGAGGATTCTTTACATTCGAGATCATCCACTGAGATCTCATTATCATACGAGATTGGAGACCTTGAAGAACAAACACCAGACTTGACAAATTCATCTACTATTGATTCTTCAAAATCAGACAAGTCTGGCAGTTTGATTAGCGACTTTGACAGACTGGCCATGATACAGTTGCACCGCAGTGAAATGGACGAGGAGAATGAATTATTTTCAGAGTTTCGAAGAAGAAGGAATTCGTTGCCTTTTTCTTTAGGTCAAAGAACGCCTTTCGTGGGAAAAAGTGATAATTTGGTTTAAGATGTCAGAACCGCTCCAAAACGCTTGAAATTTAAAATGCAAAGAAGTCAATCATTGCCTATGGCAAGTTCACGGTTTGCTGGTGAAGAGAAAATTTCTTCAAAGGATAACTATTCTAAGCACCAAGATGGCAAATATTGTGTCCGCCAAGCTCTAGGTGAAATAGAGAACACGAATGAACTGTCACGACAAGGAAAATTATCACGCAAAAATCGCTCGAAATCCTTACCAACTAACACGTCATTGAACTTAATCAAACGTTTTCGGCAAAGGAGTTTACAAAGTCACGAAAGGGTACTCCAAATCAAAGCAAAAACAAGAAGAGTGAAATCTTTACCTTTTATCTACGAAGGTTTGGCAGAGTCAGACTCAAAATAGAGCGATTCTAGCGAAAATAGCATTCAAGTTGAAACCGAGCGAAAACGACAACTCAACGAAGGATCCGGAAAGATCAAACAAAAGGCACTGTTAGAAAGAGCAAGTTCATTTCCTCTCTATGGAACAGAAGGACAACAGAAACAAACAGACAGTATTCAAAAACAATTAAAGAAAGCTTTAGATGTGTTTTTCTCGCAGAAAGCTGTTGATGGATATCATGTGGGTCGGGGAAGAAGGTCGAAATCACTCCCGAATGTCTATGAAGGGGTAAAAAATCTTAACTTTGAGAAAATTACAAAAATGAACATTCCAGAAGCTGTCACTTCCGAGGGTAGGCAGGTTTATGACGCCGTTAACGGTGTGAGAGAAGAAAATTTACAGAGCTGTTCAGATAAAGAAAAAATAACAAACGAAGAGACAAAAAGTGACGTAATTTCAGGGGGTGATGAACTCGAGTTACGAATTTCGACTCCGGTATACTGTCATGATTTGCCATCTGTTCCAAGGCCTCGAGGATTCTCTATACCTTGTTCTTTCAAAATGGAAAAAATTCTCGAAGAGCCTAATGAGTCTGAAAATTGCGATGGAGTTGCAAGCAATGACCAAGGAGATGCTAAAAATGTAACACATTATCTTTGTGACCACCACTTTAACCAAACAATGGATTGCACGCCACTTAACGATAACTCAGGCGTATCGGAGCAAGCCGAAGATCCTTTCACTGAGTCGGATGTCAATAAAAGAAGCACATTTGAAAGCAAAACAGAAGAAAACCAACAACACAACAGTTTCGAACAAAATTTAGAACTCTTCGACGGCCTTGTTACTGAGACTTTCTCTCGAATGCAACAGTTGGAATTTTCCAGCTCCTCTTCTTGCCTTCATCGAGCAGCAGCAAAGGGAGATTTAGAAAGCATCAAAATTTTAGTGGAGGGAGGAAATGATGTCAATGCTTTGGACGAATTTGGTTGGCCAGTTTTACACGCTGCTGTCACAACTGGGAACTTTGACTGCTTTGAATGGCTGATTGACACAGGCGCCGACCTAGAGACATACACAAACTTTGTCATTGAAGAATACCAAATGCTTTGTCGGCAAGTTTATCAGAATTACTAGTTGCTGCATCAAACGAGGGAGATGTATGTACTTGAAATACAAACGACATGACTGACTGGTCTGTTGGGACGAAATCAAATTTTTATATTATATTCATGAGATTTAGACTGTGTACAATGGGTTTAAAATGGGTTTAAAATGAAAATAAATCAAAAGGTACGCATAAACCATGCATCGTTTTTTACTCCCGTGGAGATAAAAGTCCTATCTCGAGATATCTGAAGTTTTCCGGTGGAGTTGAATCCCACTGAGATAAGCGCCGCCATTGTGACTCAGCTAGTCCATAATGACAATACTCAAAGAGGATACCCCCTCTGAGCCGGTTTTATAGTCAGTGCTCTTTCCAGTTTGCTATTGATCCTAACCTCTTTCACTATGCAAACGTGAATAGTGTTACTTTGAGGTTTAGTTAAAATGCCCCGCGTCAGATATCGGTTCACTTAATACACAAATGTTTAGGATTGCATAGCTGCATTCTATAAGAATGATGGAAGTTAGAATTAGGAGTCTAACCGAGCCTTAGCTACAGTTTCATTCCGTTCATTCCATGACGCCATCATATCTCCTTTCCGGTAAGTTCTTCCTGAAAATTAAGTGGCAGGTGAGAGACTTCTCTTGCCTGAAGGTCAGGGTGACAACAAGAAAATGCTGCTTTGAGCGAGGTAGTTGGTCATTACAGTCGAAGCTTTCTCAAACACAGATTACAGATTATACTAGGCAGAAGGCTAATGAGTGGGGATGAAAGCGACACTGCCCACTCTTCACTTATACAATTTTCCCTCCCATCAGTTACTTATTCGACCCGTTCCCCTTCGAGGAGTCCGCGTCCACGCTGAAATCATTTCGATTCCATTGCCATTTTAGTCACCAGACTTCACCCTGTTTTCCTTCCCAACGAGTTCCAAACGCTTGATACACAGTTGTATTTACGGCGGCTGCGTTGTGATTTCAGATCGGTAGTCGATTTGTAACAGTACTGAGCTGACCGAATTATCATGGAAAGTAATTTTAGATAAGATGTCAAAATAGTCCAGCGATGATTTAGTTCTGCTTTACCACAGTTGGTTCAGAATAGTCGCGTCAACCTCTCAATCAATAAGACTCAAAAATAAAAACCGATCTTTACACCAGATATGACCTGTCATATTTCCTCGACTAATACCCGTCCGTAGATTAATCGCCCCCCTTTGACCGAAATATTTAAAATAATCGCCTCCCTGGAATAATTTGCCCCCTCCCCCTCCCCTCGCCATTTTCTCTTTCTCTTACTCCCTCCCTCTCAAGTTAAAAATTGGCATCTTGGGTAACAAACCAGCTTTTATTTAATTGTTCCATGACCACTGAATGATTACAAAAACACCGATTTTTTTTTACAGTTTTTTCTATGACAACGTTCATATACTTCACTTTTTCCTTAAACGGATTATGATCCAGTTAAAGTCATCAGCGATGATTCAGGTTCTGACGCCGAAGATATTGACATTGAACATTGATTACCGTAATCAACGAAACAAATTTGAAACACTAAAAAGCCCATGTTCGGTTTATATTTGATGCGATTATTTTTTTGATTTAATGGTATAATAAAACAAAATATTTAAGGCACGACCTTCTGTGAGAAATATTTGAAATAATCGCCTCCCTCGAATAATCGCTTTCCCTTTTGGTGCGAAAAAAGAAATAATCGCCCCCGGCTATTATTCGTGTTATCATATAGGGGGCAAAATTACTGAATTGGGATTGGTCAAGACAGAGGGCATTTTTTCTTAACTTTTGTAATTGCACCGGGCAAAATTACTTGAAAATGATTGGCTGAAAATCGCTTAGCAACGGCTGCCAAGGTAAAAAAATTTCTGTTTGTTTTGTAACAATGGCGTCCCGTTTTGCGCGAGATCAGTAAGAAAACATTTTGCCCCTTATATTATAAACAAGTAATCACATGGTTCCTAGTAAAATTAAGGATTAATTTCAGCAACTTCCGAAAACATGCGTGATATTAATCCTTAATTTTACTCGGCCCCATGCGATTATCTATACGAAAAAAAGGATTTGAGGCAGGTGTGTTTGTACTTACAGATCTCGTTGCTTCCTGATTAGCTCGATTAGCTGCTAGGATTGAATAGTTTAAAGAACCATCGGCCGCCTCTTGAGGATGATGGGTTTAGGTTAGGGTTAGGGTTAGCAAATAACAGGAGCCCTAGTAATGGGCTCCTGCAAATAAACAACTTCCAGTGCTCTTCGTCACAAACCAAAAATATTTTGCCTCCTCTTCTCAACCGCACAAATGATAAATGATGGTGTGGGGGCAATTAACGTCAACATATGCACAGATATCAACTGTTCATGGAACGAGTGTAGACGCATTGATTTCTCAAATCAATCAATTATCGACTGACTAGGCTCTTTCAAACTTGCGCGAGGTTGCCCAATTCGAAATTTCATAAATATTGGTCAGCGGCTGCCAATCGAAAACACGAGGGACCAAGATGGCGGATCAGGTAGGAAAGGAGAACAGTGGTAAAGTAAAGCATATTGTGGCAGATTCGGCCGCGTTTTTGAAAAATGCACCGCTTCATTAACTGTGTGAAAATGTTTATGCAGTTGAAGATGTTGTTACTGAGATAAGGGACGCTGCAACTAGACAGCGTTTGGCTGTGTTGCCTTACAAAATCAACTTTAAAGAACCGTCAACCGAAGCAATACATGCGGGTAAGTTAGGAACGATAAATCTGTATCTTGCGGATCCCTTATTAAAGTATGATCTTTTCTTGCGGACATTCACCAAATTCCTTACTTTTTTTGCTCACATTTTGTATTAAACAAACGTGTTTTCGACGAACTCTTTTACTAGGCAGACGCGACACTAGTATGATTCAAGCCCTTTTTATGAAACCCAAACCTAGGCTTAAGCGGACTCTTGAAGATGTGATGGGAAATATTTGTTATATAAGGTTATTTAAGTAATTTTAACATTTCTAGTATCGTTTCCAGAACATGCATAGGATGAAAGAAGCATAGGAAAATTGAAATAGTAAACAATGAGATAAATTATCATCTTGCCCCCTCGGAATTGCCTACATTGATCCCGCATATGAAAAAAATTGAGTTAGAACTATGTTCGTAATTCTTAGACAATGTCGGCGATGGCAACATAAAAAGCGGTAGAAGATAGTTGAAACAAAGAAAACAGAAATGATCTCTCATGAGTTTAATGTGCTACAAACGCAGTTGGCTTTCGTTACCAACTCTCGAAGGAAACAAGTCATTCTTAATTCTTGATATAGCAAAATCTTTTTGCAATATATTACAAAGAAAATAGAAGAATTCCTGACTTTGTGATTGCAATGTGGGTTTTAGAGGATGAATGTGTTTTAGAAATGAGAGGAAATAGCAACTCCATGGCAAAAAAACTCAGTTGTTGTCATTTCTCTTGTAAACTTTTCTTCTACTTGTTATTTAAACTATGTGTCAATTCTCTCAGTGACTGAATTTGCAAAGCAGACAGGAGATTTCCGAAGTCTTTCAGCCGGTGACCTCAGGGTGCTGGCTCTTACTTATCAATTAGAAAAGGAACACTGTGGCATTGATCACATCAAGACCAAACCCACCAAACAGGTTAGAACTTACAAGAATGCAAGTTGTGTTCAACCTGGACTACAGCCTTACCATAGTCTAGTAACCAAGAGCTGAATACTCAGAATGAGGGCTTTAGACTAACTTGAGAAAAAAATTAATGAAATACCTGGCAACATAACTTGTAAAATGTACCATAAAATGGTTTTTGAAAATATTATTTATATCAACAAATTATCAAATCCAGGTAGAGATAACTCAAGGATTTGCAGGAAAGACAGTCCCAGGCTTCTTTGTGGAAAAGGTGACTATATATATCTCTATATGTGAACTACTGTATATTTTCATTTCTTTTAAATGCTATAAGAGCTTTCCCTTGCCAAAGGTTTTCGAATATCATGTGATGCAACTCCCTTATGATCTCCTGGCTCAGAACTATTGCACTTTATTATTCCACTGATATGCTATTTTACCATATTAGGGCATTGGAACACTCAAAATATGCCATTATACTGTAATAGGATGCTGTAAAATGGAAAAAATATGGCAGCTGCACTGAATGATCCAACTTTTAAGTGCATCAGACTTTTTTGTTAGTCATAAACTTTATAAAAGGCACTTTAATGGTTTTGCTAGTGTTGTTTTCATATTTCACTCAGGCCACATTTGGTTAATACTGAACTCAGATAGACTGTAGGATGTATTTTAAAAACTAGAGGTCAAAATGCTCAAAAATTATATAATTCAATGGTTTCACACATGATACAAGTAGCCATTTTGCCCATTGCTTGTATTTTTTTTCCTGGCCCCTACAGGGCTTGTAAAAATACTACTCAACTCACAAAACATCAGCCCGCATTATATTGCAGGAAACCATTGAACAAGGGTTATGTATTGTCTCTCTTTCCTCACAGAAGCCAAAAGGGGAAGGTGAAGAAACTGAGCTGAAAGGCCAAAGTACAGTGTGCAACACAATACAGAGTTGCCAAGCTGGCGACAGTGACACAGCTACTGAAACAGATCAGCAACAGAACAATACATCAAATACAAGTCATGGATTTGAGAAAAGCTCCATTGATATTTCAAGAACTGAAATAAGCACAGATGCTGCAACTGATAAAAACAACGTTGACTCTACTGCACAAGAAATTACAACTGGTATAGAGATGCTGACAACAAATAATCCTACATTAAATGACTCTAGAGATGATGATGAGGGATTTGAGGAAAACTATAACAATGTTTATGGAGAGGATGAATTGGGCAGTGAAAACGAGGAGGATTATGACCATGAAAATGGTGACGAGGACAATGATGATGATGATGATGACAACGGTTGGATTACACCTGATAACATTAAGCATATTAAGAATCAGATGGCAAAAGGAACTCTGGATGCTTTGCCAGCAAATGTGACTGTAGGCTGCCTTACAACTGATTTTGCCATGCAGGTAACAGTGTCTGTCTGTAATTCTGTTGTAGAATTCTTACAGTTAACTCTTTAACTCCCAAGATCTGATTGTTAACACTCCCCTTTAGCTGCTATACATTTCCCTGTAAGTTAGTTACAAGAATTTGGTGTTAGATCAAGATGACAACTTCTATGTGTACATGTGATTAGTTTAGGTATTCTCATTACCTGTTTGCTGGATAATGTATGGATGCTAAAGAAAGTCGCCAAACAGTGGTCACCTCAGGCCCATCACATGTTGTTTAAGGGGTGCCATAGGTATCGTTTCACCTCTTTTTGTTTTTTTTCTGGTGGTTTGTTGTTGTAAGTTATGGTTAAAATTTTTTTTGAGGGGTAGACCATTTTTATATGGAAAGAAATGCTTATTGACAGAAATAGAAATGACTACAAAATATACAATGAATACAAAATACACATAACAAATTCAATTGCCTTAATGACAGAGAAATTATAAAATGGTGTTTTGAGAAAAAATGTTGATAAAGCTAAACAGAGAGACAGAAAAAATTGAGTTAGCCCTTTACCAAGGAATTGGTATTGGATCAACCTAACAGCTCCTACCTGATGGTATTCTTGTCACCTGTCTACAGGATAATGTGGGGATGTTCTTGGGAGAAATCAAATATTAATCTCCACTGGGAGTTTAAGGGTCAAGAGCACAGTTTTTAAGGGAGTTTGGTTGAAACTGATGTCATTCTTTTTTAGAATGTGTTAATTCAGATGGGTCTTCATGTGATATCACTGGATGGTATGCTGATCAGGGAAGCACGCAGTTATGTGCTGAAATGCTAGGCTTGTTTTAGGTGAGTTCACTTTTTGGAAGCCACTAAATTAGTTGAGAATAAAGTGTTTGGAAATTGCGTTAAAAGAGAAATGCAAAAAGGAAGAAACGTACAAATTAATCAAGAATATCTGAACTGCATGATTTCCTTGAGGTGATTTACAGGTGATGAAAGTTGACAACATTATCAGTGGTAGGGTGTTCTCTTGATTTAATATCAAATTCTCTAGACTGATCTACATGAAATTGTCTAGCAGTTAGAGGGGAGAATTGCAAAGGAGACAAAAGAACTTTTTGGTGTTAAATTTCTCACAAAGCCAGATGAAGGGATGTTTCTTAAAGTTCTTTAAACAACTAGAACAGATTGCTGTGTTTTTTGGCACAATTGAATCATTTGATGATCAGATGTTTGAAATCCAATAAAACTAGATTAACATGTCATAGTAGGTGTTGTCTAACTACAGCTACTGTACACCTTCTATTGGAAGGTTGGGTGAGGACATGTAACAGAGTATTTGTCAATGTTCAGAGGCAGTAAGAATGTTGGATTTGCTTGTTGTTGCATGATTTTAGAGTAACAAGTCAGCTGGAGAAAAAGTTCTGCCCATCGTGTGGAAATAACACTTTGGTGAAGGTGTCTGTGAGTGTTGATGAGGATGGTGTGACTCATTACCATCTACCAAACAGAAAGAAACCGTTTAACATTAGAGGAAAAAAGGTAGTTTCTCTTGACCTTAAGTTCTATCTGTTATGAATTAATAAATAATAGCCGTGTAACTGTCTACTGTATACCACAAGTTAGAGACAGTTATGGTATTACATATCTTTTCTTGTCAGTGGTTTGCTGCGTGTACATGAATGACATCGCGGTGGGTAGCTTCCTGCGGAGATTGAAATGATCTCGAACGGCGGAACTTTGTTCCCATAAAACATAAAAACTAGCCAATTTGCCAAGTTAAACTCCCGCAAAACGTCTGTATCTTTATTGAAGTGCTTTTGTGAAACAGAAAGAAATTGATTGCGGTGTTTCTAAAATTTACTTCACTTGTTCTCTTTTCTCATGTTTTGTTTTCAGTTCCCCCTCCCTCGGCCCCAAGGCGGTCGCCATAGTAACAACCCAATCCTTACTGAGGACCAGCCCCGTGCTCAGCATCGTCTTCCGCGGAAAAAAGATAACATGAATGTATTTGATCCGAATTACATCGCGCGTAGCTCGCCATTCGCTGCTAAAGATGTCACAAGTCGCGCCTCGCAACTTGGTTATCACGTGAAAGGTGCTCAAGATTATCACAATCGACGGAATCCAAATGAGGTCAGGAAAAAATCTGGGCGGAGAAAGAAGTAAAGAGGTTGTAATCAATTTTTTATCCTTTATGTTTAAAATACGAGCGAGTGTTCAGTTGTGCGTTTCTAACCGCACATTTTTTCCTAAGTAATGTGTACAAGCTGAGCTGAAAATCCTGAATAAAAATACATCCTCGTAATCAGAGACGTCTGTCTACTTTTGTTGATCTGAAGAAATCTTGGGCTTTTGTTCTTATAATCATGTGACAGAATCTTTTTGCTGTTCTTTATGATACTGTTATCGTTATGTTGATCTTCTTCCAGCATTCGATTTTTGTCCAGACCCACTTATGCGTCATCTACTAATTCGTAGTCTCATAAAGTATGGGATCTAGACTTATTCCACGTTTAGCAACACCTGAAAAGAGAAGACCAATACATGATATTCTAGTTCTCGAGGTTTCTCCACAAGTGTATTTTGAAGTACGAGTTTAGGTGTAACGAAACTAGTGCTGGAACCTGTACCAGTGTCCTCAGTAACAGTATTGGCGCTCTTTAATGAAGATGATACAGTCAAACCTGTGGTCAGTTATTTGTTTCTCCTTAATCATTGTAATTTTCATTTCTATTGAGCGTTCACCTCTAGTAAGCGGTCGTGATCACCCTTGCAATTGAGTGAATCCCAACGAGTCTCTACTGTCTTCCACCTGTATTCAACGGTGTATTGAACCTGTATGCAACCACTCAACAAAACTAATAAACAATCTTTCGAGTAAAATTTAATTGATGTTTCTCTCCCGAAATCACTTTTAGCAGTATTTTTGAGCGAGTGTCTGCAAAGTAAATGATCATTTATGGCGTTTTTTATCATTCTTTTTAGTACCCCAGGTCGCAGCTCCGGCACTTTGGAATGCATTACCGCGTGAGGTTCGTTCTCTTACAGATCTAGGGATTTTTAAGTGCCACCTGAAAACGCACCTGTTTAAGGAAGCTTTTTATTAGTTTTTATTAAAATCTTATGATAGTTGCTAGTATCTTAACATATGCTGTATGAGATGTAATGCGCGCTTGATCATTACATGCAAAGCGCGCAATATAAGAATTAAATTATTATTATTATTATTATTATTATTATTATTATTATTATTATTATTATTATTATTATTATTACTAATACCCCTATTGTCAATTTCTCCCTGGGTGGCCGTTGATATATATTTCTGTTTGAAGAGGAGCACTGTGAATGAAGTGTCCTGCCCAAGATCATAACGCATTAACCCGACCAAGAACTAGGATTGGCCAGGTCCTGTCTCAAGATCTGGAGAAAGCACGTAATTTCTGAGACGTAACTAAAACATTATTTTTATTAATCCAGCCGGGTTGATAAATAATGCCTCTTCATGATTAAAGCTATCGAATTTATTGATTGATTATAAATGTTTCGTTACATTATTCAGTCCAATGTAAGCATAAAATAAACAGCAAACCCAAAATCCGTGAACAAAACGTATGGAGGTAAAAAGAAATATAGAAATTAAAGCTTGCTCAAAAGAAGCCATGTGTTGCGTGCGACAATGAAATCTTTCAAATTCTTCTTTGTGAATATTCTTAAATCGTACTAATCCTCGCCAATCAGGCTATCTGATCCTGATTAAAAACGAGGCAACTCAATTTGTGCCTGCTCTTGTCACTTGCCTGGAAATTACATTTGCTCCTAGCTTCAGTTTAACAATTGTCATTCTCACATGAAAAATGCAGCCGAGTTTTACAAATAAAAACAAATAGAGGACGTGATAACCCACAATTACTGTTACGGATATACTCTTAAGAGTCCTAAGAATGAACGACCATTATGCAAAGTAAAAAAAAAAAAGTTTGGAAATGTAAGAGCAATTTTCGATTAAGTGTCGTAGCCAAAACCAAAATAATCACAATGGCTAATTAGTACAAAGTTCAGCATTACAAGAGCCAATGAAAACTCGAAATAAAACACTTGCGTTCGACCTCAAAAGGCGGGAAAACGCAATTGACGTGGATAACACAGCGGTCAAACATGGGCCATGCTCTAGGGGATCGATTCTGGCCGACCGCGCACCAATTTCCCGCGCAAAATTTCAAAGGAAAACATAACAAGCAACCGCTATCTCGTAAAGTAAGTAATAAAATTGAAAGTTATTATAAATCTGCAAAAGGAAACAAAAGTAGGGAAAAGGAAAACTCGAGACTTTCAGAACAGCTTATTTAAGTGACTTACTGACTTTTTTTGTTTGTAACTCCTGAGGGACAACTTGGTTTGACTGCTGTGTAAAACAGAATTGGCTGGATATCTTCTTCTGAATTCACTAGATAATGGCAAGAGATTTGTGACGCAGTCAAGAGGCGCAGAGCAGCAAAACAATAGATTCCCGCTTTGGTTTCGACACTAACTTGAAAATTTTAAAATTGTATTCTGAAAAATGAAAAAAATGTGGTGAAAGTAAACGGCCTTTAATAAAATGATTAAATGTAATGCAGAAATGTTGCGATAAGAAAAAGGTGGACTATTTCAATAGAGCAACTAAAACAAAGCAAACGAGACTAGTTATGATAAAAGGACCTAATACAGTAGAAGCAGACTTTCCTGGAGACTTTGCTGATAGCCGCAATTTATCCCTGTGAGTGACAACTTTGTGGAACGACACGTTATTGGTCGACTTCAATGGCTGAGCCACGGGATTCATCTTTGCGGCCAGTCGACGTCTGCTAAAATTCTTTGACCTCTTCCTTACGAGAGTAAAATTAGCATATGCGATGGCATCTGGATCAACCGTGATTGTCTTTTTTGAATTTTTATATTTTCGTTTAGCCACACGGATGATGTAATTTCCTGGCACCAATAAACGCCAATAATCGCCATCCTTGTAGGTCTTGACCTTTTTAGCACGGTTCTCAATGATGATTTTCGCACCTTCAATCGGACGGCCCTTTTCGTCAAAAACAAAGCCCCTTATTCCTGTGTTATGCACCAATTCGATATACTTGAGCAAGGCCTCACGGTTTGCGCGCCAGTAAGGGGAGAGGTAACGAGCAGGGGGGTATTTACAACAACCAAGCTCCAAGGTGATCTCGAAACAGTTTCTGTTGAAAAACATGATAATAATAAAAGTAAATTATGGTAAACACTCGTCTTAATTCCGGTATGCAGTAAAAATCTCAACGGTATTGACGGTGAAGTATCATGTTAGCTTGATTATCCCCAAATGAACGCAAAATAAGGACTCTCTGTGATTATTTCGATGACAAGCAAATGCGTATTTCAGTTTATCATTTTCGAGTTATCAGCGTCAACAAGTTGTCTAAGACGTACAGTGTATGTAAACAAAACCCTGGATTTTTTTGGAAAAAAAATTGAACATTGAACATGAATGTGGAGCAAAGAAGGGTATAGAAACAAACTCCAGACAGTTCCCAATTCGCAGTGGTGTGCTTAACTTACCGACAAGTCGTTGACAAAACCCGCCACATAGCAGGTTCATATGTTTAAAGCGCCCTAAATACTGCTTGGATAAGTATAATCAAAATATTTCACTTTAGAGTAAATTTTAACCTGGGTCGTCGACCATCAAAATTATAGATCTTATGTGCGAAGATTAAGGTCGACTGCCTACAAGCTTAAGTACCGTACGTTTTATAATAATTGTAATCCTGCATTCCTCCCGAAATTGGATACCAGGCCGCGCCGTTTGTGATCCCGTCAGGAAACTTCTCTTCTCTTTGGATCGGACATCGTGGATTACCGTTGTGCATTGTGGGATGTGTCTTAGAATAAAGTTTGGCGATATTGACAAAAATGTCATCATCCGGGGAGCTGTAGTATACTCTAGTGGTGGATCTCTTTAGCTCACTAGGGAGGTTGTCAAAGGGATAGTTGACAACCAACGTTCCACCGTGTAGATTGGCTGACAGGACAAATGGTTCCCTATGTATCCAGTTCATAATAGCTTGTGTCTCGGGCTGCAGTTCATTCGTTTGTCCGTCATAAGGGTCAGGGAAATTTCTATTCAAATCCACCCCGTTAGCGTTGAATCTGCCTTTAATACCCGTGCAGCCCACATGAGAACTCTCCCATCCATCAGGGTTCATTGATGGTAACAGATGGATTCGAGTTGTATCAACAAGTTTTGTTATCCTCTGGTCGCGCCCGTAGTTTGAACACAAATGGTCAGCTAACAGCAAAAGCAACTCGCGTCCCACAACCTCGTTTCCATGCATATTTGCTACGTACTTCAACTCAGGTTTGCCAGGTAAATGTTTCCCAGGATCCTTTGTGATCTCGATTACCCATAAGCTCTTGCCCTGATACGATTTACCGATGGAATACAGCCGTGTGATGTTAGGATACTTGGCTGTCAAAGCTTCCAGTACCTGACGTAAGGCAGTGTTGTTGTGGTGGATGGGTCGCACAGGCAGGATGTCACATTGGGCTTCATTTATTCCGGAAACATAATAAAGAAGAATCGCTAACCAGAGAGTCCGCCATTTTGCAGCTGGTAATTTACTTTCCATTACCTCTCCTTTTAAAAAAGAAATGAACAAAAAAATCATATAGCTGATATATCCTTTTAACACAATAATATCTCAAAAAGGGCTAATGGGTTTGCTCAGGGAGTATTGGCATTATAAGAGACTTTTACACTCGAGAACAAATGAATTTGACTTGCTAGCTTAGAGCGAAATAGTGACAACTGTTCCCTGTCAATACTCTATTCTCATTGAAAAACAAAGTTAAACAGTTATTTATACTGGAATATAACTGACCCTTTACCTTATCGCAAGATCATACAACTGTAGCTTGTTTTTCTCTACCAAAGTCATTTTCGCGAAAGCTCGTACTGACGCATTTTTCGCGCTCAAACGACGCTGGTTGCAGCCACCCTCTATTTAAGGGAGACAGCGGTCTCATTGCCTTTGTACAATGGAAACAGGCCAAAGTGTCGGCCAAATTCTAAACGCCGGGTTCAGTTGATGACGTGTTTTTCGTTCAGCGGTTTGCGAGCCAAAACACAGTTAATAATAAAACAGTTGATAATAAAACGCTGTACGTTCTCAAAGCCGAGTTCTAGAGCATTCTGTGTTGCTCCACGCTAGTAGGAAAGCTCGGCTGGCAATTCACAACAGCTATCTGGTTAAACTAAAGCGATGATTTTTTTTATTACAATTTTAGAGAGATTTCGCTTGTCACTTTTAGATGAGGATCATTTTTATGAGTGAAGCTATGACCTCTTCTTGAATCTTTTAAAGAGCTTATACAATTTTTTTTTTCGCCATTTCTTTTATCAACGTTCGATGATTGATAGAAAATGTTATGAAACAGTTGTTGCGGTTAAAACTCAGCGATAATTTTTGTAGTACAATTTTTAGACAGATTTCGCTCGTCACTTTTGAGTGAGTATTATTTTTTTGAGTGAAGCTTTAACCTCTTCTAAAATCTTCTTACAGAGCTTATACTGATTCATTTTTGCCATATCTTTGATTTACGTTCGCTGATTGGTAGGAAATGTGATGAAATTGACATGGCTAACAAGATTAAAAGAAAAGAAAAGAAATTTTGGACATGATGTTTTAACACTAGTTGCGAATTCTTGCCATCATYACCGGAAACTTGGTTTTTCGGATCTCGACCCTTTTAATAAGTGCTACAAGAATAACATAGAAATGTCACATGTTGGCAACACATCACAACATTGTGTTTTAAGAACTCTTAAGCAGTTTCTGTTGTTGTATCAGCCTTTCTCGAAATATTTTGGTTGATTTTAAAACACTCTGACCCCTGAGAGTGATCAGCGTCTAATTTCTCCTTTCAACGACACCCTAGAATCAAATATAAAGGTCACGAAAATAAAGGAAATGATCACCAACTAAAGAAGCTCTGATTGATAAACAAATTCTCCTAGTCAGCACCTCAGGAAAGGTATGGAGAGCAGTATCATAGGAAGAATATGCAAGCCTGTGCACTCGGGAAAATTGAATGGGGCCCAGTGCTCTGAAACTGTGAAATCCAGGCTGTCCAGCATATGCTTTTTATGAAAAAACTAAAATTCCTGAGCCACCCAATTAAGAGCAAAAGTAATGCGCCAGGGGCCACCGGGCGCTGCTAGACCGCCGCTTTGATAAAGGGTTAAGAACCAAAACTCATTCCTTTTATTCATTTTCCACAAGAAACACAACTTGTTCCCCTTCATTCTGTTCCATTTATAAATATTGAGTAATGTAATACATGATATCATCAATTTAGAAGTTCATTGGTTCTGAGGCAGATACAGAGCATAACGCCGCCGAACAATGGTGACTAGTTAACAGACACAATTTCAGGGACTACAAGATGCTGGGAAATATTATCAACATTACATTTCAGATGCGTTTGAAACTCGCAGGTGGCTACTGTTGTATCAACAGACTCGTTCTAATAGCATGACCCGAATAACCTGTTTCTCCTGAAACATTTCATGGCTTCAGGACATTTTTACGGCCGCTACCCTGAAACAATGATATTCATTGTCTTTATTGCCAACCTGGAAAATGCAAAGCTGGAGCCGGATAAAAGAGATTTCCCAACAAGCACGCGGTTTGGCTAGCCTCACGCAGCTCTCGTGGATCGAATTTCACGATTATTTCTGAATACTTAGGGTTCCACAGTATTTCCACAAACATTGAAAGAATGAAACACGCCAAAGTTTGAGGAGATATCATTCGCACACATACTGTCAACTTCAAATCTAGATCTTGAAGTCAAGCGTCTAAGAACTTCAGGAAGCGCGACCACTTAGCTTTCAAACAAGTATTCATTCAACAACTTTGTGCCCTCTGACTCACCTTGTCTGCTCGCAGCAGCTAGCTTAACGGATTTCTTCTCTTTGCCACTGGCACACTAAATTAGATATTGATGAAATATGTCCTTCCAAACTGTACAGACAAATTCATCAAAGAACGATTTGAACCTACAGAATCGGAAGCGTGTTCAACGCCCCGAAATCGCGACTGGAAAGAAAGGTCTGCTTCACAAATTATTCAACAACACACACTTTGTGATTTGATCGGTTTTTTGTTAGATCATTTCCGGTAGATCTCAAACCGCAAAACCGCGCAAATCTCTTCAACTCTTTAAGAACAATGGCATCTAGAAGGCTCTATTCATTGTTTTAGAGATTGTGGCTTGTTATTTCTGGTGATTGTGGTCACAATCAATGAAGCAAATACTTTTTCGCTATAATTTTATCTCTTTGGAGAGAAATACTACAAACCTAAAGTCCTCTACTGAGTACCCGGTTAAACATACTCCTTGATTCTTCGTCTCGAAGACAAAGCATTAACCCGAGCATAAACCACAGACCACTGCTGTTGGGAATTTTTTAGCAGGAAATATACAAAGGTTATCAGGGAAGCGCTAAGTTCGTTATGTGATCATTGATCCCCTTGTCTGCAGTTGATGTTTACCTTAGCATATGAAATTCACACCGCTTTCAGTACGTCTACCCTCTCCTCTCCTTGTCGCTAAGTAAACTTAAAACTACTACCGCTTCTCATCTCTTTACTGCACAAATCCAAGCTGCATGGATGTCCGCGTGGATGGCGCCGCAGCACCCGAAAAATGACATTTTAGAAGCACCCCACGCCGTGATGGGATTTCCCAGAAGAATCGTAAATTTAAAGTTATGCAATCTGTTATACGCCTGAGTTTTTGTTTGAGAAAGTTATAGAAAATGTAGAGTTCCTGACAGCGATTCCCACTAAACTATTGCCAAACAAGCTGACCATAGAGTGAATGTATATATTTTGATAGCCTGCGAGCACGATCTCATAAACGTTGCCTGTCGTGGGTTTCTCCGCCACGGGAAGATTTGACACGAGAAGATTTGACACGAGTCGAGGAGAGGTTTGCCGAGGCTCTGACAGACCTTTCGCCACAGGTAGCCCAAGTTTGCACAATGAGCCTACTGAAATAAGTAAATATGTTTACGTTGCGTAATATGGGCGAATTATGAATATTTGTATGGGACTCTCGACTTAAAAAATCTGAACCAGTTTTGAATAAAAAAAAACTTAAATCGTTAAAGTGGTTCAGTGAGTCTTTGTTTCGTGCGAACTTTCAGGGCTAATTTATGACCGTTCAGCTCAGTTTTATATACACTTTAAAACAGTATTAATTTAGCTGGATTACACTGCCACATTTTTTACCTTTCACTCTCTCACTTAGAGTAAAACGAGCGTGTCCGTTTGAAATCCAGATCGTTGTGTGGCTTAAAATTAAGTAATGCTCCACTTAGAGGACCCCCCTTAGAGGAACAATTAGTGAATACCGCATCTCATTAATGTTTATCTTTGCGAGTTCTCCTGTCGAAGACAAACGACTTGTCCAGGAGAGAAACAAATTTGAAATGTTTCTGAGTGCACATCCATGATAAATTTTGGTAAGAAAGTGAACCACTGAGATGTCCACATTCAATTACGGTAAAATTACCAATTGGCCCCCGATATTTAAAATAATTAATTTTTTGTCATTTTTTAAGTAAACAAAACGGAAGTTGAACCGTTGGCTAAAGCAAAGGCTAAATGAACAAACCAATGATATGAATCATTATCTAACGGAAATGGAACATATCTTATTTTGGCCTTTTCCATTTGATAAGTTTGTTTTTGTTGCATGTCATGTGAAGTAAACTGAGAAGTTTATGGTGTCCATTCGTAGGCCATCTAGATAAATATTACAACAAGTCAGGTACTGCTGACCGAAAATGTATGTGAGTTTTATTTAAACTGTTTATAAGTAGAAATGTAAATATTAATTCAATATCGTGAGCCAAGAAGGGTGGTAGAATTGTAACGGTGTTGCACTTCGCGGTGAAGGGCTGGTTGAACTTATTACCCGTCTACCAGTAACACCACATTAACATGAGATGAGGAAAGAATTATTGTTTTGCGATGAACTTTAAAATTTATGGCTCTTAATCTCTCAGAATAATGCAGTTGACAGAGTCCTTGATTTTCGAGCTTAGGTAGTTTGTTCAGTTCAAAAAGTGCTACGGTGCCATGACTGAAAACGTAGTACACTTGATTAACGTAAACAAACCCTAGATCGAAGAAACTGGCCATTTCCAACGAAGTTATCATCGCGGAGCGTTTGACGAAATTCAAAAGATTTTGTCGTCATAATGCACTGTGCCACAAAATTTTTTATCGTATTTATTTTTAAAATAGGGTAAAATGTAGGTGAACTCGATTCGATGACTGACCAAAAATATTAAATCAACCTTGAAACCTTACCTTACCGGCACCTGTTGCCCGGTTCAATGACCTTGATTCCCCGTCAAAGAATCCATGAACCATAACACACTTCAGAGAGATTTACCGTGGAGGCTTGACCTTTCTATTTTTGCCCGATTAGTAGTTGACGACAAATTCTCATAGTGAGTACACGAGAAAGCAAAATTTAAACCTAAAACAGCGTGTCTGTATTTAGATGAGATAATCTCGTGGAAATAAAACAATGTAAACATGACATCAATATTACCAGGACCACTTGCTTTGGATAACGTCTCCAGTGCACTACTTCAGGTTGCTAAGCATTCGTTTCATGCTTTTCAGTGATGATGCCTTGACTCTCTTAAGATCTATTTATTTGTTCCAAAAATGATGTGAGAAAAAGAATGTAAAATGAAATAATATAAAAGCTTTGGACCCCTCACTATCTGACTGGTTATGTCGGCAACTGTTCACTAAGATGTGAAGTTTATTTAGAACTGTCAAGGGGTCTGTCACGTACAGGGCGAACTAGAACTGAACCGATTCAGCCTCCTTCGACCGGAAGCGAAAAAAAAATTCCTGCAATTTACTTCGAAACTCTCTTTTTCACGAGAAAAACACCAGTTTTGTTGGGGAACACTTACGTGGCCCTCGTTATGATAGCGAGGATATAAGTTAGCGCGCGGTAAAATGTGGCATACAACGTCACTAAGCTCGTTGGTTGTTCGCGTCAATGAAGTTCGCCACAACAACATAACGTCTGTTTGAAAATTTCTCTGTGTTCGGTTTGATTTTATAAGACCGTTTAGGATAATTAACTCTCGATATACAAAAGAAAATGAAAGTTGGAAAGACTGAGAAGTTTCCAGTCACTGCTAAAGGTAAGTTTTCTAGTTTGCAGTTGTTTGATTTCAGTTTTTACAGTTGTTTTAAAGTTTGTCACCTGTTTATCTCTTTCAAATCGTCATCGCAAACAAAAACCCCAAACATCTGTAGAGAATCAGTTTCCAGACAACGATCGTAAACCTGAGCCTGGTGTAATTGAAGGACAGATGGAAAAGCAGAAACACGCCAGTTCTCTTATAGAAATGTTTCAACAAGAAGCGCTGAATGAAAAGCAAACTCGCCTCCTCGCTCAGCTGAAGGCCCTTGAAAAGGTTTGCTTTGAGCTCTTTTTGAACATGTAAACTTTCCACTGGTGAAACATATAGCTTTGAAATCGGGAAAAAAAATTTACTTTTTCAGGACAGATTAGCAACAGATGCATGGAAAATAATAGCTGCTCTGAAGAAGGAAAAAGGAGTGCTTGAGGTAACGCAGCAGATTAAAACGTTCTTCTTTCGTTAAGCTTATTTCCTTGTTGTTGTTGTTCTCGTATTTAAGTTTACCGACTGCACAAAATCGCTTGCTCTAAATGTTAGACACAAGTTCAAAAGCTCAGAGCACAAAACAGCAACCTTACTGGTGGAATAGATGGAGCTGGAAATTGTAAAAGGTAAGCTCTATAGCATAAAAATGAATTTTCCTAAAATTGAGTTGATACGATCGCTTTCAAATGAAAAATTCATAAATGAAGTTCTACCAGGTGAACTGGTGAATTCAAGTTGTTATCATTTTCACAATTGTGGTTTTCTTGACATAGCTATTTGGTTCCCCCAGCATTTTACTTGTTAAAAATTAAGAAATACAAGGGACTGTTTCCTCTGTTTCTGTTTAATTTTGATCTTCAGAACTCAGACAATATCCAGCGAAATACAAAATGCGGTGTACAAGCCCACTAATATCTTGAAAGATTACAGCAACGAAAGCAGCGTGAACGAAGTTAGAGGTAAGTGGACGAAATAAAATCATTTTCCGAGTGTTAGTAAGAACTAGAAATCATAAATTATTTCAATTTCAAATTACAGACGAGCTCAATAAAGTCTTAAACGCTGTAACATGTGGAGTCAAAGACAAACAAGTTAGGGTAAGTGGTTTCTTCTAAAAACAATTTAAAAAATCCTCTTCTATTGAGCATGAAGTTCGGGACGCGAGAGCGCTATTTCCTTTCATTGTGTGTAATCTCTTTTTACAGGCAGAAGACAGTAAAGATGGTGCACCTCCTCTGAGTACTTCAAATTATGTCAAGAAATCAGCACAAGACCCGGTAGACACAGGGTAACAGTTACATCGATCATTTATTGATACTTTGGATATATCAACAAAGTTGAAATGGTAAATTGGCCACCGTTATGACTGCAGTCTAAATCCCACTGGGATCAATGAACGCTTTTCATTCCACTAATTTATTCATGTTTTTCTCGTTGCCATGCACCCACCAATAACGTAGCTCCATTTTCTGCCTTTAAAAGCACACACAACGTTAACCCACAATTCCTCTATTCGCTCCGACGAAGGGCTAACGCTCGAAACGTCAGCTTTTGTAATCATTACGGTGGCCAATTTACCATTTCAACTTTGTTGATATATACAAATTATTTCGTTACTCCCACCGCCGCAGCCCCAAACAGTTTCTTTCGAAACTATCAGCCTTTATTCATTTATTGATACTTGTCTACATGTAATCATTGCGATGTCTTGTTAGTCAAACTTGCGATTAGCGTTAATTTGGTTTTCAGTGAATAGATACCTACATAGATATTTATACTTAAACCCTATCCAAACGAAAAATCTTGTAATAATAGAGGTTTTGCACAGCAGCCATGTTGCATGGAAGGAACAATAGATTATTTTTCCCATGGGAAAAAATCTTCTTTCTTATGCAAAATAGTTTCATTGTTCCTGCCATGCAACATGGCTCCCATGCAAAACCTCTATAAATCGAATCCATTGAGTTTAACTTTAACGAGAAGTAAAGGCTCTTGCAAATTTAGCTTTATCTCGGCAAAACGAAAGACGAAAATGAAAAAAACAAAACTTATCAAGTTTCGGATGTTATTTTCAGAACCGTTCAGGAATTAACGCTAACAAACTTTTTTCCATATGACAGGCATCAAGGAGTGTTCTCAGTAAACATAAAGAACAAGGTCAAATATGAAAAATGAAAGCACACGAAAACCCAGAATGAAGTTTCATACCATGCTATAGAAAGTACATTCAAAACAAAAATGCAGCATGATTAAGTTTATGGATACTTTATTTTTCGCTCATGGAATTTAGGTTATTTTCTTAACATACTATTTTGGCACATGCACCATTTCTCAGTCGCACAGGAAGGCACCATTCAGTTGCCAGTTTTCTTTCGCACAAAACCAGATGTTGTGTTGCTTTTGCCATCAGTAACATCCTGTTTCCGGGCTTATCAGTCGAATTAGGTTTAATCATTTCCCTTCCGAGCAAACAGGAACTTTTTGTGAATAGAGAACCTTTTTCATATTTAACCTGTAGGCGTGGTGGAATCTAGGCTTGGCAAATTGTGGTTTTAGTAGTACATAACGAAGCTTTGAGTCACAGGATGTGACATAATTTTGGCTCATCCTCGGTGTAAAAACCTGTCAAGCTCACGAGCGACGTAAACCAAAGACAACAAAACATTATGGCGTACAGCAAAATAATACCTCATGAAGCAAAGAAAACCTCGCCAGGTTTTCACACCGAGGATGACCCATAATTTTAGAGTTTTTCCATGCCTAGAGGTTCACGCACATACTGTTTTGTAACAGTTTACTGTTGGGATATTTTGCAGTGTGCAAGTCGAAAGCGTTGCATTTAGTATGTAATGAGGTATCATGACATCAAGCAATACTTGGTAGCAATCCCAATTTCACCTGTCACTTCTTAAACTGAAACAAACACTTTTGCCATCATTATCATAATATTGATGATAATAGTGATAATAAAAACTTTATTAAAGAGAGTTAAATTAAACAGTCAAAGTTAACAAACTCGTGGCCCTCTGGGTGACTCCAAATTAAGAGTCAGTTAATTTAGGACATCGTGTTAGAGTTTTTTTTTAGGTATGAAAAATAAGTTTAAATATCTTACTACTATCTTTCCTCTGCATGGCATCCAAATATAAGAAATGTAACAGCTTCTGTTTCAAACCCCCAAAAAAAAAAGGATCGCCGGAGAAATCGTGACCGTTGATTAATACTCTACTCACTTTCGATGATTTACAAATGTTACCAATCTTCAGTATTGTAGAACGAAGGTCAAAGGGGAGGTTCCTTTCAAGTCGTCTGTTCTTCTTGACTTCGTATCTTCACTTTTTTCTTTTAGTATGCGTTGCGTTCCCCTCACAGAGGAAAATCTTACAGAAAGATCGCCCGATAAATCTAAAGGTAGAGACTATTGAGCACTTAACAACTTTGATCAACACAGAAGTATGATGAATGCACCAAATCAAATTGAAATATATTGTTCCATGAATGCATATTGCAGAGCTTCGGGAACCTGTGGCTGGCGTGTGTGGACTGCAGAATCTCGGCAACACGTGTTTTGTGAATGCAGGCTTACAGTGCCTCTTCAGTGTGACGCCATTCTGCAGATTCTTTCTAGGTAGGATATTCAAATTCTTAACAATGGGGAAAAAAGAAATGCACAAACTTTCAAGGTCATGCATAGCATCTCATGTAATGGCTATTGAGTTTTTACAAGTTTAAGAACTTTCACAAAATGTAGGTCATCTCAACCAAAGATAATGAATCTTAATTTTTTCTTAGTAGGTGGTGGGCACAAAACTGTGTCTCAGAGGAACCCCAAGAATTTTCCAAGGGGAACACCTGATAAAAGTCAGGTTAGGACTTGCTTTAAGCAACTCTTACTCAAAGTTATTTACGCAGAATGCATTGTTTTTTCTTAAGAAGAGAAGATGAAGGTAGATCCGGTATTCGAGGGAAAATTTCTTGTTCCTTCTGAGTGGCATCCATTTTGTTAGCACATTTCAACATAGTTTACAGATAAGGTCAGATGAATAAATTTTTTTGAACCAGTTAAAGGATCGTGAGTAGCTCTCTTTTTCTGAAATGTTACTGCATAGTAATCTCTTCACACTTATGGAGTTTAAAAGGTAAAGATCTAGAAACATAAATTGTACTTGAAAGTTAGTTACAATTTTTCACCCAACTTAGAAATAGTGAACATAAAGCCGGATCTTTTATTTATTAGTAATAACAATCGCACTCATGTAATCATGTATTTCTCTCCAGAGCACTTACTTAAGATAGGGACTGATCAAATGATCTGATGCTAATAGCTGAAAAAAGAGTCGAGCGACATTTTTTAAAAATGCTATCTGGTTGCAGCAATCATTGAGCAAAGTCTTGGGTGAGCTGGTGACGAAAGTCTGGAGTGGTTGTTATACGGACTGCGACCCAACAGAGCTGTACACAGCAATCACTACACACTTCTGTCATCAACTTACACCACAGAGACAGGTAAGCTGACACAAACACATCTTGCTACAGCATGATTCAACTCGTTTTCGTTTACTTTGATTTCTTCATGCTCATGTCATTATTCAAGTGTAATCCCCTCTGAATGGTGCTGATCAGAACCCAAGCTATGGAAATCAACTGGGTCAGCTGGCATGAAGAAGTTATGTCTTTCTTTACATGTTAGAGCACACACCGTTCAGGAGTAATTAGCGTGTGATAGTCTAAGCATCTGACAACTTCTTGACAGCGATTAGGGTTAAGTCAGTGAACGAGGGATTTCCTACTACTGAGAGAAACTCACGTAAAGAGTGTGAGATCCCCATGTAAGCTCTTAGATCTGACAAACATCCACCTCAAGCTTCTTTTAGATTCAAAGTGTATAGTCTGCCTGTTGTAATGTCACGCGTACCCAGTGCATAGTTTCAGTTTTTAGTAGAGACGTCGCATAGGGGTCTGGAACACGGGAATGTTAAACCTCTCTTCTAGATCACCTTTGGATCTATGTCACCATCTTTCTCTTCTTTTGTTTCCTTTTTGGTAAGCATGACTGTCACGAATTCCTGGCGCTGTTTCTCGATGGACTTCATCACGAACTTAACTGTGTTACTGCCGACAGTTCCAATAACTCATCACCAGATCAGCTTACTAAAAATGACTGTGCGGAGCAGAGATGGAGGTAAATACTGTCTCAGCCTTGGAAACATTAAGGCCACCTTCAGCTTAGCCATGACATTTTAGTAACAGGCGAACATGAAAAAATCTATCTTTCCTTTCTGCTTAAACCATCAGTTTTTTTCCTCACCAGTTCACTTGGTCTTGGATATTTCCCCAATTTAATAACATCAAATCATAATCAGATACTTAATGGCTACTCTATGTTGCTATTGGTATTTTACAGAGAATACACCAGGAGTAATGACTCCCTTATCGTTGATACTTTTCAAGGACAACTGCAAAGTGAGGTAAAACTAACTACTGGTCTACTATGGTATAAGACAACTGCGCTTAAGGTGATATGAGAAATAGTGTACTTTAAGCTCCGTCTCTTATAATTTGAAATTACTTGTTTTGTCAGCTTAATAAGTCAGTCACAAGAAGACTTTCATGGCTACTCCTAATAAACATGCTTTTGTTGAAGCATTATTAGTCACAGGATTGTTGAAGACGAAGAATCGTATCTTGTTTGATCCTCAGATCACTTGTTGCAGCTGCAGTCACAAATCTTCTAAATACCAACCATTTACATTTCTCTCCGTGCCACTGCTAAGTGAATCATACCACACATTTGGTAAGCCTTAATTGATTATACCATAAGCCTAGCCTCCATTGTAATGTTTCTTTTAAAGTAGAATTTGTATGAAGTTAGTGTCGAAAGTTAACCGAGACGGCGATTAAGATAACTAACTTTCCTTTTTTATTTTACATATAGTTGTTACGTGGGTTACCTGTGATCTAAAAGGAGAAAGTGATGGGAAAATACGGGCAGTCAGGTAATTCTCTAGTACTTCATGTCAAGGGACATATCTTTCCCTCGCGACTTAATGACAAAAATTCTCCCTATCAAAGCTGATCTCACACATTTCGTCCGACCAACAGTGTAGCCATATCTTAATATTTCCGTTTTAACTAAGATTCTATTCTGCTCTAGTTTCATTCTATTCATTCCACGATTTCGTTTCCTCTTTTTCTCCTCTCACTCAGGTACAAAGTACACGTGACAAAACCAAGCACTGTATTAAAACTTAAAACCAATTTTGTTTCCCTGCTACCCGAAGATGCACAACCAGAGTTGGAGGACATCAGGGTGTCTGTGGTGCGAAACAGTCAGATCGTTTCAATAATGGTACAGAAAAACGATTTTTTTTTTTCGGTTTACCGCCTTACTGACATTTAGTGCTTTTGTGATATTTATTTCAGAAAGCGTTTTTAAGGTTTTAGAATACTCGAGATCTGTTTGTGCAATTTTGATCGACTCCTTCTGAGAAATGAATTGTTGAAAATCGAACTTTAAGGTTATTACCCTGAGCAAACTTCTTTTTCAATTCAATTTAAAAAATCAACATATTTCTAATATTGGCAAATTAACAATGATTGTAATAGGGAAAATATTCTTTAGCAGCGGTACGCAAGATTAGAGCAAAAGCCCTTGGGGAACCGCTTAAGATTAAAACTATTTAGCATCTGATCAAAGTGAATTTTAGGATGGATAAAATTCCTTCTTTCGTATGATCGAAATGCATTCAGTCAGAGCCTGGGATGACTAAATCAATGTGAAACGGACCGGTTTTGTTTCATTGCAGAGCGATGAGAAGCAGCTGACATTATTCACTGATCGCCGAAGCAAGCTGTACATATTCAACCCCTCAAAAGCTCCAGAGTCTTTGTATTTTGAAGGTTCCAGTTATTCGCGGTGGGAATCTATGCCGTTTCCCAAGGGTCAGCTGCCTGAAAATTGCAATCAGTCAAGAACGACATCACTGCCGTTTCCTTCGGGGCGATTCTCGACTCAGGCTTATGACTCAACCATGTACTACTCCCCTGGCGCTGCTAGCGCCTCAGGAGAATTCGTATCAGCACTCGATCAGCTTCACACTGAATCTTCTACAACTGGTAAATCTCCAATCAACAGACGCCACCACTACAGACTGGCAAGTCCTAACACCAGTACTCCAAAGACTCAAGTTTCGCAAACAACAACGCGTGTATCGTTGTCAAATGTGTATCGCTTGAGCGCCACCTGTTGTATTTGTCTGCAGGAAAAAGCTGATGACCAACTTATTTCGCATGATAAATGCGGAAGATTGTATTGCCGCCAATGTCTTCAGGTAAGTAACATCTTTTACATAGTTTCTAATGACAATTATGCGTGACTGTATTCCTGAATCAAAGGATGGCAATGGAGGAATAGACCCTCTAATGAATGAGAAACTTTTCTATTTGCAGTAAACTAAGAATGGTAAGTCCAAGTTAATGAACTAAATTAACGTCAGTAGAAGGTTCTTATTCCAGTTCGTGTGAAATGATCGGTTGGTTTTGCCGTGATGTTATTGGCTGTAATACTCAAGTGACGTAAGTCGGTCGTGATTGGTCTGTTTCGATCTGACGGTAAAGTTAGGTCGTTCTTTTTAGGTCGTTTGTGATGTTTATGTCGTGAATGAGTCGTTTGTATGGAGCGGGTAGTTGTTGACATCTGTTTAGGGGAGTCTGTCCTAAGTTAGTAAACCAGCTTTCCAGAGTCAGTCGTTGAAAATAGTCAGTGCTGTAGGTTAGGCATTGCGCAGAGTCCCAGTCAATGTTGTGGTTGGTAAGTCGATGGTGTTCAGCAATGTGATTGCTGACATCACCTTTCCTCGTCGCCCGTCTGTGTTCAGTCAGTCTTGTTGTGAGGTTTCTGCCAGTCTCACCGATGTAGGAGGCTTGGCAGTCGGAACAACTGATCTTATAAATCGTTCCCTGTCTGTTCCTCGGTTGGTCTTTGTTCTTTTTCGGTCGTTTGTGATGTTTATTCACGACATAAACATCACAAACGACCGAAAAAGAACGACCTAACTTTACCGACAGATCGAAACAGACCAATCACGACCGACTTACGTCACTTGAGTCTTACAGCCAATAACATCACGGCAAAACCAACCGATCATTTCACACGAACTGGAATAAGAACATTCTACTGACAACAATTATTCACTTGACTCTGATGATGACTTCCGCACAGGTTGTCCTTCTGATTGTCCTTCTGATTGTCCTTTGTCGACAACAGTCCTTCTCAGGACTACACTCACCCGGACGATCAGACTACACCTTCACATGTTACCCCCGGGTTCAAGCCATTTACTGCAAGAACATTTCCACAAGTAGTTAAGTCATTCATGCACCTAGTCCCGTTAATATTGTCAATATCATCAATGCGTCCTATATCGTTCGGAACTCTTGCTATTAAAGTCAAGGAATACTTTGCTTCTGGTTGAAAAAGACACTTGCAAAATTTACTATTTATAATGAGAATTCAAACCAGAATTTTCTGTTTGCTCACATGCAGGATGCAGCTGGCGGAGTTTTTCAGTGCCAATCGTACTGCCCAGTAAGTATTACGAAATCAAATGTCAGCAAAAGCGTGAGAGCCACTTATTTTTCAGGTTACTTTTGGTCCTAATCTGACTTTAATCCTGCGAAATAATTGTTTTATGATAGACAGTTACTTATGAGTCACTCTTCGCCACTATCAATGAAATTTCTCGGTTATGGTTACGTTCATAGCACACTGTTGCCACTTTCTCAGCGTCATGTTGATGAAGATACCAAAATACGCCGTACCAAGTTGCCTTCACACTCCTATCTTGAATTGCTCCAGTAAAACTGAAAATTCTATTTGTCTCCAACAGCGGTGCGAATCAGAAATAGTCATACAGTCCCACATTACCAATCAGAAATCAAGGTACTGTCTACACATTTCATGACTTCTTTGTCACTAATTTTTCAGAAAAAACAGCGGCAGAGTTTCAAAACGATTGAAAAGGCATTCAACTGGTTAATGGTAAAGACACTTTCGGCAAATTTCTGGTACAACACCCTGTTCATCAAGCATTCCAAGGGAACAATCAGCCTGTCTTTCAAATAAAGTCGGTTAACTCTTTGCACACTGACATCAGTTTGCATATTCCCCACACTGGTCTTCGCATTTTTGATGGCAGTGACTAGGAGAATTTATTTATCAGTCAAGAGCGTCTTTGGATGGCGATCATTTTCTTTATTCTCATGAACTAATATGTGATTCAACAGTGATACTGGAAGAAGAAATTAGATGCACGTCACTTTTAGGAATGAAAGAGTTAATAAGTCGGCAAGAGTTTCAACAAACGTCACTTTCAATTTTTGATAACACGTATGGACGTAACTTGAACATGTAAAATTGAGCACGTGTGTAAAACATCGCACAAAATGATGGAAACAAGTGAAAGCTTTACAGACCCAAATCAGATGAGAAGTTTATTATTGTCACTCTCGTAAATATCATCCAGTTGCAATCAAACTAATGGTTTATACTTAGATAAAAGGGGTTTTACTTGTATTATCCAACAGGATGATTATGGTTCCAATAGTTCTACGAAGATTTGAGGAGGATTCTAAGGTCAGTACTCAGAAGTAAGACTTCTCATAGACAAGTCTTGCAGAGTCTAAAGCTATTAAACTTAGAATTAACCCCAGCTGTTAAGATGCCCTCAAATCCAGGTGTAATGTGGCTTTTCCAAACTTCTCACACCAGCATCTTTCACTAAGAACTGGTCATATTTTTTTCTGTCGCATCTAATAGTTCACCTCACATTTAATTATCGCACTTTTTGTGGTCTTTTTGTAGACGAAAAGGTTATTTGGACATCCCAGTTTAGTCGTCCTTCCCAAAAATATTCTTGGCAAAGATTTATATTGGTTCATATCAAAGCTGTTACCTGACGCTGTGGCTACACTCACGTTCACTTTACATCTAGTTGACCAACAGGTAAGTAAGATGGTGTCTGCATTCAAGCCAAGTGGCCCATCCAGAGAGAACTTATTCTGGTTTCCCTGGCATCAGGCGACTAGGAGTGCTTTAAACACTCCTATTACGAGAACGCCAGTCCATCGCTGTTCACCCCGAGCATTCCAAGTCCTTTCAGATTTCCTTGACAGCTCATTAGTGACCTTTTTAGATTTCTGGTTTGAGATGGGCTCTGTAGGGAAAATCTCTTGCTCAGAAAAATAAAACAGTTCTTCACGGCTGGGAGGCAGAAAGGCCGTGGTAACAAGTAAGAGCAGCGACGTTGCTCTGTTGTACATGAGAATGCCTGCTTAAGTGCTCAAACATCACGCATTCTTTGAACCGATTTATTGTTTTTGTTATTTTCACGAAAAGAAGCTGTGAACCCAATCTTTCTGTAGGGGGATCTCAAGATGCCCCAAATTAAGACTGAAAATATGATTCGTTCTGTTTGGATTCAACAATTGGCAAGATTCGTGGTGTAATGTTCTCGCCATTTTTGCTCGTGATGTAGGGAGTCAATTGTTCCCGTTGTACCAAAATCACCGGCTGCACAGGCTGCGAAGTCAACAATGGAGACATGATCTTGAATCTGCAGCCATGTGATAATTTAGCAGTCCAAATGGGCAACATCAGCCGCTGGGAGGCGGAGAGGGTAAGAGATTTCGTCATTTTATTGAAGTTATGAGTAGCCGATGAAGATATTCATGATTCCTGGAGTAAAATTAGAATGGGGCAAGAAGAAAACTGCTAACATGGCAGTGATACTCATTTCAAAAACCTAGGAGAAGACAAGTTAGAGGTGACTCCTCTGAAAGGGATGTACTTTCCAGAGTTTGTCAAACTGGCATTATTGGTGGTCGGAAAATTGGAATATCAAAATGGGATTAATATGCTTTTGACCGACATGCTGGTACATCATATTAAGTGTTCGTTACTGAGCTGAGGCTCAAATTTCTACAAAAAAAACCTTAAAGAAATTGGACTGTTACGTAGTTATCTTTTATTCCTCCCTTACCTCAAATACAGCTTGTTACTTCCGATTCATAAATGGTGGGTTTGAGTGTGACGTTTACGACAGCCGGCAAACGTCAAAACTAAACTCTGATAATCACTCACTTCTCCAACAGCGAAAAATATCTTGTTCATTGGTAATGCAAATATCTTAAATCTATGAAAACAGACGGCAAAGCCAGAAATTAAATTTTAGTCCTATTACCAAAGTCACGCGTAATTAACCTAATTCGGTTTCAGAGGACACCCGCCTTACAGGTTGAATTCTTAATAACGGCGCTAAAAGAAAATACCTACCATTACTCATAAAACTGATGAAATTAAACTCCTTGCCTATGATTTTTCATAAGATGGCCCGCTGTATCGAGCACGACTCTATATGGAAGACTCGCAATACAGAAGATCCTGTACAACTTCAAGATTGCTTGAGGACATTTGTACAAAGGTAGACGAGTCATGTTATTTTACTATCAATAAAAAGGATCAATTGTTTGCAATAGAGTAAAACCGAGACACATGTTTAACTACGTTGTTGTGTGCACGGGATGAATGACTAGCTTCCGCAGTAAGAATATGCGTCATCAATGGGCTTAACTCCCTTTAGTTTACTAGTTGAATTTGCAAAATTGTCACGTTTTGGTTATCTAGCACACTTCTTAGCCTGGGGTAACTTTCAAATGGGTGCGGAGGCAAAATATCTATCACCGTTAGCACTTTGCCCTTCTTAGCCCTATAACCGGCAAAACCTCACCTCCTCTTTAACTCAGCTGTCTTTTGGTTGAAAGCGAGCAGCTACCAGACACGTGGTATTGTCAAAAGTGTCACCAGGAGAGAAATGCTTCCAAGCGTTTGTGTTTAGTTCGTCTTCCAGATACCCTTATTATTCATCTTAAAAGGTTAGTAATATATCGTCTCATCATGTAATACTGCCATGAACGCATATCCAGTTACATATTTGTACGTTGTTTTATTAGAGAATAAACTCCTTGAGACTTCCCTCTGAGAAAATGAAAGCAAACATTTTGATGTTGCCAGCGAGAGATGAACAGAAAACTTGACAAGTTTTATCAGTGCGTTTTTACGTGCATCGAAGTCAAATGAACTTAATCAAGTTAATCAACTTAATTAACTTAATCAAGCTAAATAGACTTAATCAATTTCAGGCGTAGAATTACTTCTATTTCACTTTTCACTGGTTGCTAATTTTTCGCAAATCTGTTTGGAGTCAGAGCTCAAGTATCTAAAAAATTTGCATTTTTTCCATACCAGGTACAGTCAGAGCGGCGTAAAGATAACAGCACCTGTTACGTTTCCTCTTGAAGACCTTGACATGCGTGAATACATTCAGCTAGAACACGACAGTGCAGAAGAAAATGGAGCAGAAGACTTCAATTACGATCTTAATGCCTGTGTCTGCCACGAAGGGAGTAAGTAAATAAAAACTTAACGATCGTTAAGACAATAGCAGAGTCAATTGAGTCACTGGAACCTGGTCTCTGCTAGCTTTGATTCAAGTTACCTTCCTGCAACATTGTGTTAACATTCGAATCACTGATTTGATTTTTTAAATCGATTTGATGGATTTTCAGTAAGACAAAATTAGATTTTGAGAATGGCACTTCCAAAGGGTGGCTTTTCGTCATCTGTCTACGGGTCAAATTGGAATTACGAGTGTTAGTATTTGGAAAGGTCGGAGTAAATCCCAAGCTCCCAAGCTATAGCAGTATTCATGAATACCAGACGTTGGAATAACTTTTTTTCACTAGAGTTCTACAATAGTTTTTTGGATTTGTACTCGCCACGAGCTTTTATTTCTCAATTCTCAGATGAGCATTATAAAGGTAACATCTTCGATATGTTAAACCACAGGTTACAGCAGTGGACATTACACGGCCTACACCAGCAATAATGGAGTCTGGTACCGATATGACGATAGTCGTGTTACCAAGGTAACTTAAGTCAATCTTAACTGTTCCTTTGAACACTTGCGTGTTGCTTCAGATTACCGGTCAACTGATTCATGTCGGTGAAAAGTACCCCTAGCTTTCACCCTTATGCCGAAGTAGTTGTAGGAAGTAGTTGTAATGACAAAAGCTAACGATCCAGATTTTTCATAATAATTTGTAATAATTACTTCTGCTTCATGATTTATTTCCTAGGAATTGCCAGATAACATATCCTTTGCTAAGGCATATATTCTGTTTTATCACAGAAGGACGGGTAAGCTATTGTTTTAACTCAATTTTGAAGTGTGTACCCAGTCAGAGAACAGAAGCATGAATGACCACACTCATGTTGCAAAGCTACTGTGTCATAATCTCATCCGTGAATCTACAAAACACTGACATGAACTCTGTTTTAAATATTTTTTTATATTCAATATTGAAAAGCAAAAGATTTTCCTCACCCTTTCAGTTAGCAGTTATTTTCAGTTATGTAGTCGCACGCACACTTTTCTGCTTAACAGTATCATTAGTTCATCATTCTGATCTGTTGCAGTGTCACCGCGAAGTACATCATCGAGTTACAGTCAAGAGTGAGTAGAATAGATTTTTGTACTGATAATACATCTCGCATGTTAGAAACTTTATCATTATACGTTATGATTCTGAAGTCTAGATTGGGCTAGCGGCCAGGGCATAAGTACCATTTTAACTTCTTCTGCGTTTGATATAAGTTTACGTTTGGTTTGTTAGTATATTTTATTAGTAATTTAAGAAACAAAATGCCAAGCTCCCCGAAAAGTTTTGTCCCAGGTGGTGATAAACTTCAAGGAATTTCAGTGCGAAAACGCTGTGGTCATCAAAGTAAAAAAATTCTGTTTGGTAACTACCCTTATATGAAACCATAGTTTCTCTCTTCAAGCCTTAGTGTTTAGCGAAATATTTTAATTTAAAATACACATAGAGGCAATTTTGACATGGCATGGAAGACCAGATATCAATTACTACAGGGTTGTTATTCACCAAGCTATAAGACAAATTTTGTATATGTACGCAACAGGAGATAAGTTTGTTTACCTAGGAAAACTGTCGTTTTCACGTACTGTTAGCAGCTAGTGTGTCTCTCTTCGTGACAGCATTTATATTTTTCAGGAGTTTGAAGGATAAACACGTAACTGGGTCGGTGGAGAAAGAAATCACCGAAAATGATGATATTTTGACATCGCCAAAACTGCCAAAGACTCCTTTGTCATCGAATGAAAAGGTTGTACAACAATGCATGGTTCTACCATTTTAATAAAGGCTGATAGTTTCGAAAGAAACTGTTTGGGGCTGCGTCGGTGGGAGTAACGAAATAATTTGGATATATCAACAAAGTTGAAATGGTAAATTGGCCACCGTAATGATTACAAAAGCTGACGTTTCGAGCGTTAGCCCTTCGTCGGAGCGAAACTACCCTTTTAACATTGTTAAAAGGCTTACTGTCCTATTTCCTTGATTCAAACCAAATGAATGCGTTACCGAATACAATGATGGTCTGAGTGTTTTGGAGGCGTCAGATTTGTCAGAGCCACGGGAGTGATATCTTCACGACACTGTAAAGCTAAGGGTTGTGAGCATAAAAGCAAAATGAATTTTGGGACTCTGTCGGCCTACACAGTTTTTGAAAACTGTGCAAGTCGACAGAGTCCCAATCTTTAAAGTAGCATTAAATATTTAAAAGTATTTCAAATATCGCCGAAACAACCTTTAGCAAGTTGCGTTAGCATCGAACCCATCCAAAATGTCGTAAAATTTATCCAACAAGAACTCGGTAGGTATAATAATAGATAGATATAATAATAGTAGATGTTTTATCGAGTTTAATGGAACACTGCATTCGAATCCTGTTGTTAACTTGGTATTTGTAAAATTTGCTTGCTATTAGAAGACTTTAAAGGAGATTGGAGAGGAACTAACGGAGAAACTTAACATCCTAAAGCCCATCGCTCATAAAGGTAACAGAAAATATCTAACAAAGTCAAAGTAAATGTTTTTACTCAGCACAAGTAGATGTTGGGTTACAAATCGATTGAATAATTGATTTGTCTCTCTTTGTTAGTCTTTCTTAGGGATTCCACAGACGATGTGAAAGAAACCAAAAACCAAATTAAAAGGTAAGACCACGATAAGTTATAAACCTTAAAGTGCACCTTAACCCAAATTTTTTTTTCGCTTGACGAAATAAGCGTATTTTTTGGAGTATTTCTGTGCAAATTTTTTTTATTTGCTCAAATCTTCAATTTTCTGTGCCCAGTCAAAATACGGAAAATCGGCCGCCATCTTGCCCCACGACCGAGTTTAAAGAGGAATGGTTCTAGCGGGTAATGTGACGTCAAAACGAGAACACGAAAGTCTGCATTTCACACATTTTCACTTGTTTGGGAAGGTTATAGTCAATATTGTCCGAAAATATGCCGACTAAGTGTGTTATAGAAGGATGTAGCAACGTGGAAATTTGCTACAGAGGGTATCGCGCTTGATACATTCCTCATACAACACGTCTAGTCGGCATATTTCGGACGATATCGACGACAACCTTCCCAAACAAGTGAAATTGTGTGAAATGCAGACTTTCGTGTTCTCGATTTGACATCACATTACCCGCTAGAACCATTCCTCTTTAAACTAGGTCGTGGGGCAAGATGGCGGCCGATTTTCCCTATTTTGACCGGGCACAGAAAATTAAATATTTGAGCAAATTAAACAAATTTTTCACAGAAATACTCCAAAAAATAAAATTTTTAGTTAAGCGAAAAAAAATTTGGAGTTTAGGTGCACTTTAACTTTGTAATGAAAATATAGTATGAATGAAGCCATAGTCAATAAACATAAAGTATTTTCTTGTAACTTGCTATGCAACAATGTGATACTTGCTGCGAATTGAAATCTGCATCAATAACCGCGGTTGCTATAAATGGCTGCTATGCACGAGCCTTGTGTGAAGTAGAACAAAGGGAAATAACAGAGGAAGCCTATGAGAACTTGAAGTAAACAAACGTTACCCTAGCCAAGTGCAAGGATACGTAACTGACCAAAAAGTGATTCATTTTAGTCTTGTACCTATCAGGCATGACGAACGCGATCCATGACTGATTAATTTCGACACCCAAGGGGAAATTCCGCTTACATAGTGAATATATTAAACACATCTTGCGTAATGTTGGCAGAATGTATTAGACGGTCTCACGCCTTAGCAAGTGTCTATATAATTTTTTTTGGTTGGTTTCAGGAGAAGATGGATGACAAACCGGAAGGTGTCTGTTGGAATAAAAGGTTAGTTTGTTCAAGACAGTCGAGGTAAAGAATGTTGCATGCTGCACGTAGTAAGATCGTACATGACCTTAGCGAGTAAAAACCAGAAAAGCCGAAATTTGTAATATAGGCACTCATATTCATGCGAAAGAACGAAGCCTAAAGTGTGGAAAAGGTCGTACTGTGGACAAAATACAGTTATAGAGGGAGAGACATAAATGAAAGCTTTGCAGTAAGACACTTGCAGATGAACGTGGTCCAGGGTTACACATCTGTAGGTCAATCCACATTACAAATACTGTAGATATATTCTCAAAAAGGCCTTTTTATACCATGCATCATGTCAACGATGAAATAATAATATCGTACAAAGCAAAAGTGCGTCCAGTGGTTATTTTTTCAATTGATGGCAGTGGGAAATTATATAGAGATAAATTTTGATTATCTCTCTCTAAAATATAAAGCGGAAGAAAGAGAATCGAAGCCAACTGCCAGACCTGAGGGAGCCTGCAACGAATGGGAAGTGAACAAGTGTGGATGTAAACAGTGTGATTATTTCAAACAGGTGGAAAGAAAGGTAAAAAAAAAACAGAGGGTATCGCAAGGCCATGGGCGGATACCAATTTCATCTTCTCCGGTTGACAGGATCTCTGACTTGGCTTACTCGTCAGAGATATGTTAAACACGAGAAGATGACTTCGTAACGAAAAGTGGACGTGTAATGTTTTGTTACCTATATACATCCGAATCTAAAATCATTTTAAGACGCATTTTCAGAGCATTTCCAGATTGCTGATATCACCTGCATATAGACTCAGTTAGCAAAAAAGTTACCTCTGCTTCCTTCAATAAGGAAGTATGTGTTAATGTGTTAATGTTTGTGTTAACAACACAAGCTTTGTTTTTTTCATAGTTAAGCTGACGTATGTGTCGTTGCCATGGCGAAATGAATAAATATAAACAGGCCTTTACGTAATAGTAATAGTAATAGTAATAGTAATAGTAATAGTAATCAAAGTTTAATGTCTTTACTTGGGGCATGGTTACCCATATTCCCGAGCCAGATGCTCATGTATGAAACACTGCACAACAACCCACCCATCCATCACAGAGTAATCTCGTGCGTGGGAAATTAACGTCTCCTACCCCTAACCCTGCAGGAGACGGGACCTCCATTTATTCGTCCCTATCCGAGAAGACTAGAATATCTAAACCATTTCTTGATGTTATAGAAAGGCAGCATATTCTTCTCAATTATTATAAGACCTTGAGTGTTGGTTCGGTCGGAGCTCGAACCGTCGACCTCCCGCACATCAGTCCAGCGCTCTATCCATTGAGCTAACCGGGAGGGGGGCCTTTAAAATCGGTTTTGTTTATTCGTAGAAAATCTAGTCATTAGATTTTCTTTATAATTTGCATGCAACAAGCTTGTAACGATACTCATAAGTTAACGCCATTTTGCTAATAATTTAACAGAGAGATCCTCAATTATCCCTTGTTGAAAGTTCACTCGATTATCTAGAATTTCCTTTATCAAAAATCAATTCTTTTCAATACTCCAGTTACTTATTTCCTAAAGTATTTTCGTGCCAAATTTCGTGAAATTCTAATGAGTGGTTCTCGAGAAATAGGCATATTTTCGAGAGAGCAACTTTCCATTCAATCGCAGTTTTTTTACTTACTACGCATGCGCTACATTTAACTGGGTTCTTTCGGTAGCGACGAAAAAGTTGAGAATTGCTGGGTTCTTTGCACCGATAACTTTTCTAACATGTCTGTAATAAAAGATTAAAGCCCTTAATACACTGCGCCAACTATAGAGAAAAGTAGCACAGATAGTATGGAGACGTGTTGCATGAAGAAAATGACCGCTCTATCGACGGCGTATTTGTTTTTTGCAATCCTTGTGCGCGCGCTGAGTTGCATCAGCAAAAGTGCGCGTGCCTTTGCTGACCTTTGCTGATTAAGGTGGCCGAACACAGTTTTCGCGCGCGCTTTTGCTGATGCAATTCAGCGCGCGCACAAAGACTGCAAAAAACAAACATGCCGTCAATAGAGCGGTCATTTTATTTACTCAACACGTACCCGTACCCGCGCTATCTGTGCTATTATCTTTAGTTGACGCAGTATATTGATGGCTTTAATCTTTTATTACAAAGCTATGTTAGAAAAGGTAATAGTGCAAAGAACCCAGTAATTCTCAGCTTTTTCGTTGTTACCGAAAGAACCAAGTTAAGGTTACTGAACACAGTTTCCGCGCGCGCTTTTGCTGATGCAATTCAGCGCGCGCATAGGGATTGTAAAAGACCAACATGCCGTCAATAGAGCGGCAGGAGCCCATTACCCGGAGCTTCCATCTCAGTTGTACCCTTGAGTCAACCCTGTCCCGTATCTTTTTATTTTTAGAACTGAGATATTTGCGGGGATTCTTTAATCTTTCTGCACTTTCCGCCATTATTGAAATAATTTCGTGCGGCCTGCAAGTGACACAATAGAGACGTAACACAATAGAGACGACAGCTCTCTTATGATTGGCTATTAAAAAAACACCCGTGAAAACCGCCGTGGGAGGTGCTTCTAAAAATAGAAGGATACGGGACAGGGTTGGCTCAGAGGGTCAGTATGGAAGATGGAAGCTCCGCGTAATGGGCTACTGAGAGCGGTCATTTTATTTACTCAACACGTACCAGCACTATCTGTGCTATATTTTTCTCTATAGTTGGCGCAGTGTATTGAAGGCTTTAATCTTTTATTACAAAGATATGTTAGAAAAGTTAACGGTGCAAAGAACCCAGCAATTTTCAGCTTTTTCGTCATTACCGAAAGAACCCAGTTAAATGAAGCGCATGCGTAGTAAGTAAAAAATTTGCGATTGAATTAATGGCAAATTGCTCTCTCGGAAATATGCCTATTTCTTGAGAACCACTGATTAGAATTTCACGAAATTTGGCACGAAAATACTTTAGGAAATAAGTAACTGGAGTATTGAATAAAAATTGATTTTAAACAAAGGAAATTCTAGAAAATCGAGTGAACCTTCGACAAGGGATAATTAAAGATCTCTGTTGAATTGTTAGCAAAATGGTGTCAACTTGTGAGTATCGTTACAAGCTCGTTGCATGCAAATTTTAAAGAAAATCTAATGACTAGATTTTCTACAAATAAACAAAACCGATTTTAAAAGCCAATTTATACTTTTCATGTTGCCATGGCAACGGCAAATACGTCAGTTTAACTATAAAGAAACAAAGTTTGTGTTGCTAACTTGCTTGCTGCCATTTTTGGCGACCGAAGGATCAAGGATTTTAGAGAAAAAGGTGAGTGAAACACAGGTACCAAAAACTGTGTTCATCCACCTTGAACAGCCCCATTAGAGAATTAATAACACTATTTTGATGAACCCGGTTACAGGTTATCAGAATAGGTCCCGCGAACGGGAAGCAAAGAGGCATCGCCATTGGTCAATCGCCCAATAAATGTGCACGAGGGCCTCGTGCTACATATGATAGTGACTGCTTTTTCGCACTTAATTTTGGCATACAAGTGAAGTGAAAAAGATTGCTTGAGGTAGAGTTTCGACGTGTTTCTTACCATTTTTCCATAACTGAACCGTTAAGGACTCCTTTACTACTTCCAGATAAAGAAAGCGAGGCAAGATGCTAACGAAAAAGACTCCCGCACACAAGATGCCCCGGCTTGGGACAATTCAAAATCAATTTCAAAGAACTCATCTTTAACATCAATCTCAGTGTCAGTGCGATCATCAATTTCACCTTCAACGACACACTCTTGTACCACTGAGTCGTCTGTAGACCACGTGTACTCTAAGGCGGAAGAAATTATTCCTCACTACCAAAAGAAACAATCTTCGAAAACTTCTGCCAAACTATACAGCAAGGACAGGTGAAAAAAAGAGCATCGTCTGTTCTACTATTGCATCACTCCGTGATAGAGCTTACAGTGACAAGTACTATAAGAGTTAAACATTATCCACCTACAATGATGATGTTTTGTCAGAGTATTTCTTTTCTATATAGAAGCATTCTCGTTATTGTGAAATTTTTTCATTTGGTATGTTTTTGTTTTTCATTGTTAATTACTTGCGTACTCATGCTTTCCTGTTTTAGCAGTCACATCATGGATATTGAGAGAATAACGCACGAGCTAAAATATGCTATAGAAAACGAAAATATTAGGTAAGTATAGCTCAACAATTTCTTTATAAACAAGTGCTGGAAAGAAAATTTCCTATGAAGCATTATTTACAGTAAGATGCCAGAATGTCTCAATTACGGCATGGTCGTAAGTCTTACTTTGTGACTTTTCCCAACAGACGTGCTGTGACTCTCTTGAAGCGGGGTGCAGACCCCAATTTGTTGGTGAATGGATTAAGTGCACTCCATATTGCAGTGGGATTAGACTCTCCTCTCAATCTCCGTTTCACCCGCCTCTTGTTAGACTATGGTGGTAACCCCAACGTTCCTTCTTCAGAAGGCATAACACCCATACATGTAGCCATCATGTGGGAACGAATCAACTGCCTCAAGATTCTGTTTAATGGGGAGGGAAACCATTACTGGGCAGAAAATAAAGAAAAGAACGCCCTTCAACAAGCGACAGCTTTTGAAACTGAAACTGGTGCCAACACATCTGACTGCTTCTTGAAGAAACTCGACGAGCGAATCTCTAAGCAGCTTCAACAAACCACTTTCCAGTCTGACTCACCGGATTCTCCCCCAATTTTTGAGCTTGGTCCCACTCTATCACCTAATGTCGGATGCAGTATTGCCAGAAAACGACCGGAAAAGAAAGGGTCCTTCAAAACAGTTAGGCGGAAAGTGTCGCGTAGCTTCCGGAGAGCTTCGGGTCAGTTCCGTCGTGGAATCCGACAAATTCGTAGCTTGCTCCGCAGTTCGTCTGGAAGTGACAGACGAATTTAACCTCAATAAACAATAAAAATCAACATTTTAGCTGTAGATGTTTAGTACCTGTTTGCTGTACCTCGCCCTACCAAAAGACCGCATGACTGAGTCTAGAGTATTATTTAAGCAATTATAGTTTATATTATAGTATTTATTTTGTACGCGCTCTTGTATAACAATGTTATTGTAAATAAAGTTACTTATTAATAATCCTTGTTGGTTCTAGTCTTTCAAGTTTGGTTAAACTAGGAAAAAGTTTAACCAAAAGTATCTTCTCGCCACCGTGTGATATCTTCTATGTATATGTTAAAAAAAAAAAAAAAAAACGCTAAAAACCACCTGATCCAGTCCTTGTTTTTTTTCTCGGTTCTTTACTCTCGCCAAGAGATCAGAGGGCCGGGCTGTTCAAAGCTGGGTTAGATAACCCAGAGTTGGTGGGAATTCTGATTTCAGATCTGAAAGCTTTAGAAGAAAGTTCAGTACAATTATCTTTGTCTTTAATTTGATGATCAGGCCTTCGAACTACTGAACCGAGGTGCAGAATGTCCGAAGACTTTGCGAGTCGTACCGTACAAACTTTCCGAGCATGTTTCCGAGTGTCCCCTGGCAATTCTCTCCCAGGCCGCTCACCAACCTGTTTCAACATGGCCGGCAGTAGTACGTCGTCTAAAGTTGCATAATCATTTCGAACTGGTGGCTCAACCCATCAATTTCACGGGAGTGTAATCGGCGAAATTTTACGTGAAGGTTGAAGACCAATTTCATCGAAGATGAAGCTGCTACGTGTGTGTGTTATCGGCGCTGGAGGCGCAGGTCTGGCGGTTGCTCGTCATCTTACAAGTCAGGTGGATATTTTCGACGTGTCTGTGTTCGAACAAGCTTCTTCCTTAGGAGGAACATGGGTTTTCAATGAAAACACTGGTATAGACGAACGCGGTCTACCCATTTACTCGAGTATGTACAGGAGCCTCAGGTAATTTATCTTTAATTTTGAACTGATTTAAAATAGAATGATCTTTGCCTTGACTGTCAAGATGGCGGGTAGATGCTAAATTTCAAAAATTTAGAATTTTCACAGTTGCCAAGGTACAAGGCTCTGGAGATAGATTGAAATTTGTGTGGTATCTCAGAGTTTGGAATGTTTTTGCTCTAAGCACAAGATAATGTTTGTGAGAGATTAATTCATTAGAATTATGTCACAGCACTTTCCTTACTGAGAGGTTACACTCTAAATCCTCAAGTTAATCTCTCCCTCCTGGAAAAGACTCCTTCTATTAGCCAGAAGTTGATAAATAAGTGTACCCTCTTGAACAACCAATCTTTCCCCTCCTTCCAATCCTTTAGACCACTGACTACATTTGCCAAACTACCTTAAACAAGGACCCTGACTATAAAAGGACTTTTGCCCTGGGCAAGCCCTCAGTCATTTCACCCCTGACACCGAACTGTCGACATCAACCAGTCCGTGACCGTGCGATATCGGCAAAACTATTGTAACCGAAAGGTCACTTGCAGCCAGTGCATATCTCAAACTTCTACGAATTTTGCCATTTTCGTTTACGGCAAAGAAAAGATGATCGGCTCCACTCAGTTGGCTCCACAGAATGTAAACCCGCTTGCGATGTCATTTCTGTAAGGAAGGCAAACGGCCAGAGGGCTAGCGGTGAGGACTAGCTTTTATGACCTTTATTATCTTTCACAAAAATCCTCTTCTCATACCGGTTTTGTATTGTTGTAATAAAGTGGTTAGTTTCTTCGACGTTTTGTCTACGGGATTTCATGTGACACTTATACAAGAACTCCTCTGCAATTAAACAAGAGATCACGTTGGATAGAATTTTTATTTGAATCGCACGCCATTTCTCCAACGGAATATGTGGTGTTGAAATACGAATCCCGTGGGTGCTCATATAAAATAATTTCGGTCACGGATTGGAAACATGTCTGGCGGACTGAAATCCAATGGAAAACAAATTATCATCGGCTATATTGCCTGAACGGGCCTCAAGAACTATTGAAAACCTCGACCTTTTCATAAGTAGCTAGTGAAATAGGCTTCTCGTTGCAACGCGAGTCTAAAATGTTCAGGCAAAAAATATCCTACATAGTGCCGTGTCAAAATACTTAGAAAACTATGTTCCTTTCAAAGGGACCCATTCTCGAACTTCGCTCTTTTTTTTTCCTTTTTGAGGCTTTTTCTCCCCATAACTCAAAACGTGCGATAAAGCATTGGACCCGTTTATGTCGGTTTGGGTGGCCGCGTCGCTGGCGAGATGAGAAGCCTGAGCGAACGAGCAAGATGTAAACAAAGAGGAGTGACTTTCACTTACCATACCTCTTTGTTCAGACCATTCGAATAAGTCTAAGAGTCGTTCCATCAAAATAACATTTGCCATCGGTGTTGGACTCGCTAAATGAAGGCGTTCCTTCAACCGCTGAATTCTTGTCTTCACGCTTTCCAATCGCTCTTCCATTCCGGGTTCGACCGCCAGCTCCAGTGTATAACAGACTCGTAGACCTCGCGCCGCTATTTTGGCTTTTTTTTATGGAAAATCCACCATGGCAAAATAAAATGCAATTTTAAAGCTTAAGACTAGTTAGTGCGCGACTGTAGCAACTGTAAAATGGATCAATTCGAAGTGGAAGATGAGTTATGTCGCAACATACACGTACACACATTTACATACATGTACATAAATGTACATATATGTACATGAAAACCACTCTCTCTGAGCATGTCACAGTACTGAGATCCTCTAGTCAATGATATTGACGGCTCAAGAAGTTGAGGCAAATGGAGGGGAGTCAGAGGGCCAGTACGACCATCTCGCGATAGGAGGAGCCGTTAGGAGCACGAAATTCAAATTGCGATAGCCTAATTTTTTGAGTTTTGCAAATGAAGATCAGTATTTCTCCATTCGTCCCTTTTTAATCGTCAATAAAAACATTTTCAAGTGGAAATCAATTGAAACAAGACAAGGATATCGGTCTTCGTGTACAAATCTCTTTTTCCCCCTTCACCTTCCATTAGTCAGCCATCTTCGATTAGCCATGGAAGCAAAGATTGCGTTACAAGACGGGGGAGGAGCTATCCCTTTTACAGTCAGGGTCCTTGTTTAAATATTAGAGCAGTTTCCATTTGAGTGTCAAAATTAATCCAAGATAGCCCTGGTTTTGCCTTACTTTGCCCTGCCACTCTCTCTGCCAATCAGATACAAAACTAAAACCAATCATATAATTTGGTTATGTGAACAAAGTTAAAGAGTAAATTGGCCCCTGCAAAGAGTTAAAAAGCTGACATTTTGAGCATTAGTCCTTTGTCAGAGCAAAGGATGAAGGGCTAACGGTCAAAACATCAGCTTTTTAACTTTTTAGGGTGGCCAATTTACTTTTTCAACTTTGTTGATATAACCGAATTACCTTGTTATCCCCAATGACAGTAACACCATTTCTTTAGAAACTTACCCTGTTAACCACAGCTAAGCCACCAACCATGAAACTCAAGGGTCTGGGCTCCAGCTTTGTGGGAACTCTGAATTTTTTTTTGTCCAGAGCTTGCAACAAGAAGAATGCCATCTTTCTTAATTTCATGGCCAAGCTCAAAGTTTATATCTCATGTATTAGGTTTACTCATTGTTGCTTTTAATATAGCTGATACTAATATTATGCAGAACTCAGAATTTTTCTCTTTGTCCCATGCCTGTGGCAAAAAAATTAACGCCTTTCTTTAAATCCTGACCATGCCCAAGATTTTTTATTTGTTATATTCTGTGTAACCTGTGTTTTACTTATTGTCAGTCCTTCAGTTTGTATAACTTGATTGAATTTACATCTTTACTAACCATTAAGCTAAGCAAATCACCAAAACAGTGTTTTGTGTCTCACTGAGAAATTAGTTTGCCTAGAAATTCAGAAAACAAATGACAGATATATATCTACTCATGTATTTATTTTAAATATATTTTTCAGGACTAATCTTCCAAAAGAAGTCATGGCCTTTCCTGATTTTCCTTTTCCCTCAGAATGGAGATCTTTCATAAGTCATGAACAAGTTCTCAAATACCTTGAAGAGTATGCCAGTCATTTCAATTTAAACAAATATATAAGTTTAAACTCTACTATCACCGGTGTACATCCAATCACAAATGGAGACAGTCACAATCCTAAGTGGGAAGTTGTCATAACAAATGCAAATACTAAAGAATCCAAGAGTCGTATATTTGAAGCTGTGGTGGTGTGTTCTGGGTAAGTTGAATGATGTTTTGACCCTTTGACCCTGCGGTGATAAATATTCAGGGCTCGACACTAACTATTCAACTTACTAGCCAAGTGGTTAGTGACATCTTAGATGTTACAACAATTTCAGGTTTTTTTACTAACCAAACTGGCTGGTGGAAATCGAAAACCACCAGCTAAAACTGAATTTCTACTAGTCTGTGGCTAGTTGGCTACCATTAGTGTTGAGCCGTGAACATGTACATGTAACTTCTCTGTATAATATCCACACATTATCCAGCAAACAGGTAATGAGAATACTCAAAGTTATTGGGTAGAAGTTGTTATCTTGATGTAACTCCAAACACTTGTATAGAGAGGAAATCTGTGGCAGCTAGAGGGTAGAATAGGAAATCAAATCTTGAAAGGTAAAAGGGTTAAAACATGAAAGAATTAGGTAAATTAAATATGTGCATTTTTTTTTAACAAAAGTGGTTGGACTAGCGAAGAACTGTCATACCTGTTTTCTAGTTTGTGTTTTCTTCTTTTGATATAGCATATAAGGTTTTTAGCCTCCTGGAATCTAATTCTTCACAGTTTCATAACCAAAAACAAGATGCTTAGATTGATGATTACAAGAAAAAAAGAAAGAAAAAACTCAGAGTCTCGGTCATTTTTGACTGGAAACTTTTCAATTGGTATTAAAATGTAAAAGTTGGAATTGTGTTTTGAATGTGGAAAATTTTGAATATTGTTTGGATCAAAAGGTTGCATGTTTAGTTGCTTTTTTCTAACTCACCAGTAACATTCCTCTCACACCCATTAGCACAGATTAGTCCTGGGCAATCTTAACTTTTATTATTGACATTTTTGGATGCTATGAAAAGCCTCAGAACATAGTATGACTTGTGACAAAAATTGCTTCTTTCATGAGGGCTCTTGGGAGAAGATTGATACTAATTCCAAATGATGTAGCAGAGAAAGGGGATAGATTTTTTTAAGATGCACGATAATTTGTCATCTAACAGCTTGCATATCATGTTGGGTTGCAGGCATTTTTTTGATCCTCTTATACCAAGTATTCCTGGACTGGAGTATTTTGGTGGACTGGTGATGCACAGTCATGATTATCGTGATCCTCATCCCTTCCAAGGCAAACTTGTCATTGTTCTTGGTGCTGCAGCTTCGGGTCAAGACATTTGTCTGGAAATTGCAAAGAAGGCAGAAAGAGTGTATCTCAGTCATAAAGGAAATCTTCCTTGTAAACTACCAGACAATGTGCAAGAATGTAGATCAATGTCATTTGTATCTTCGGATGGGGTGGTTCATTTGGATGATGGAGAACAGAAAGAGGTGGATGCTATTTTATTCTGTACTGGTTACAACTTCTCATTTCCATTCCTCCAGAGTGACTGTGGAGTTGAAGTGAGTGACAACAGAGTCACACATCTGTACAAACACCTTTTCAGTTCAAAGTATCCTACGTTGTCATTTGTTGGGCTCTGCCTGAAGATTTGCCCATTTCCAGTGTTCAGCTTTCAGGCTCAATGCATCGCAGCTGTTTTGAGTGGAAAAGCTAAACTGCCATCTGAAGAGGAAATGAATGCTGAAGAAGAAAATGAGTTCAAAGATAAACTTCCCTCTGGTTTGAGTAAGAAATATGCTCACCTTCTGGGAGAGAAACAGTGGGACTATATGAGATGCCTTGCACAGCTTGCTGGGGTGCAACCACTGAGTGAAGCATACGAGGATCTTTATAAGTACATTAGTAAAAGGAGAAAAGAGTTCTTAATGGATTATAAAAATGATGAGTATGAGCTCACTTCTAATGGCAAATGGATAAAAACATAGATGTGTGAACACCAGTGATAAACATGTACACCAATACTGCAAAGCTTGTATTTTTTTTTGGGGGGGGGTGCTACTTTTAGGACCTCTTGACAGGGTGCTCATTACAAAGTGGAGTTAATGAAACTTTATAGAGAGAGTATTATGTTGTTATTCTTCTGAATAATGGCCCAGATTAATAATTTGTTTCTTTGCAGTATGCATTTTTTTGGCTAAAACCCTTCATATTTTCAAGCACAGAGACATTTTTGGTTCAGAGTTACCTCGCCTAAATTCTTTACAATGAAACTATTTTTTTACAGGTATTGATTAAAGAGAAGGTTGGGCTTTGTTTTGATCCTTATATATTATTGTCTCCATTGCTGAAAGCTCATTCCATAAACTTATGTACACCTCGTTTTTCTTAAGGTGGCTCTTTAGAGTTTTAGCCTGATTATTTTTATGGAGAATTTTTGCTATATTCTGTCTTAAGGTCAATAAAACTTCTAAAATGTGATAAGCAATGGTGAGACTGTTATTTTCAGAAGTTAATATGAACTATTATTATATGGCTGTGTCTCACAAGGACTGGGAACTACCGAATTCACAAATTTGATTGGCTGAAATCAATATTGAAAGTGGTCTAGATTTTCCCATCTAGACTGGCATCTAGACCAGTCAAGGAAAAAAAAATGTACGACGAATATAAAAAATTGGCATATAAGACAAAGCCATATAATAAACATCTTATTAACCGAGATAGGTCGGTCTGTAGGGGAGAATCTTGACCTCGGTCTGTACTGGCGACTTCGGTCAAGATTCTCCCACACAGACCTCCCGCTCGATTAATAAGAACTAAACATAATGGTTTTCATTCTTGAGCTGAAACGCCTCAATAAGAGGTGTTCCTATTGCACCTCACATTGTTGGCCAATTAGGTTTCAGGATTGTGACTCTTGACCAACTCTCACAGCAAAATGCCTTTGTTTTGTTTTTGTCATTTTTGGATACTTTCGGTTTCTCGTTTTATATTTACTTTCTGTTATTTTATTGTATAATGCTTTATAACTCTTACTTGTAGTTTTGCCAGCTTAACAGAGTGAATTTATATAACTCGTTTCGAAGATGCTAAGAAAATCATTACCCTTTGCAGCTTCGGTAGTTGGGAATATACTACGAACAATATTCAGCGGTTAAAACTAGTTTGAATAAATGTTCACAACTATTCTATTTAATAGATTTACTCCACATTAGCATTTAGTGATAACCTCCGTAGCACATAACAAACGGGTTATACGAATTCACTCTACTATATGTTTACTTTCTGATGATTACTGCCATGTGGATTTTATTTAACAATTGGTTCATGCTTTAGCGTGCACTATCGAGTTATGGAGCACGCGGGAAGTTTGGAGAGCACGAAAGAAGCGTAAGAGTTACCCGAGGCGATAGCCGAGGGCAACTCTAGCTTCTTTCGCAAAAAAGTAATGAGAATTCTGAAACTTATCAGGTGGAAGTTGTTACCTCGAACTAACACCAAATTCTCTTATCACCGATGACATTAGGTCATACAAAAAATACATTTTCTGAAGCGATGACCATTTTTTGTTTTTGCTTCAGTATCATTATCGCTACAGGAAAGTCCGAAAGCGTTAAAGTGGATAGAAAATGAGATGAAAAAGTGAGGTTTCCGAAAAATACTAGGATAGTATCGAGTCCATAATACACTGCTAGCAGGATCATTGTTTCGTTTCAGAACCAGTTTCGGTGTCCGGAAAAAAATGCGGCTAACGCACTGCACTTCAACTTTTTCTTTTTGACGAAGATTTATAATTTATTTTCAGCGCGATTATTCTTAGTTTTGGGAAAACAGATTTCTCACGGAGGGGACGCTCATGCAATTCTCTTGGTTTTGCTATCGTTCTATTAACCTACTCGTGGATCATTTATGATCATAGTTATCACGAACGACATTAAAATATAAAAGATATGAACAAAAGACAGTTGTATTTAAATGCACCTTGCACGCCACCAAATTTCAAACTTCCATTTTACAAAAAGACA